AAATCCGTTGGAATATGTCACATTACCTGCTGGCAGAACAACCAACTATGGTTTTGATAATCGTCCACCAGGAAGTTCTTATATTTGGAACCATGGTAAAACTGGATACGATAAGGTTATCATCTTCATCATTCTCCCTCTAAACCCCTTTAAATAAGGCGAAATAACGTTTGTTTTCAGTGTTACCAGCGTTTACGGGTAAACCAAGTTTTTGTATTCACGCGATCTTTAAAATAATGTGCAGTAACTTTGCTAGGCCTTGATTGTGAATATTACATTTGAACGCCCTCGCAATGGTATGAGCAGAACCGATGCGCAGAACGCACTCGACTTCCACTTTAAGAATTGTCCTCCACTCGGCTATCATCAGTTCATGTACGACTAGAGCTCGTGGTGTATTAGTTATAATACGTGGCTTGTTATAATGACGTAAGAAGCCGCGACACCTGCTGGGAATTCTGGAAAACATCTCTTACCCTTAGGGATTTTGACGCCAGTTTGATGTGTCTATAGCGAAGATATCACTTATCGCGAAACGTTTTGCTCCGCTTTAGAAAACGGCACCGAGTTTGCCGCAAAAATTACGAATTTTATTCTCGATCGTAGCTGTTCTCGTTGTAACCGATAATTGATAAAGCTCCTATTACCTGTACAGTGCTAGTACTTAAGTTCTTTGAATACGGGAAATTGCTACGCCAGGTGAATTCGTCTAATTCTCGTGTTTCATCCGTGTTCACCAACACTTGCGCCTGTCTTGCTGAAAGGTTTTGCAGGCTAGACTGGAGTTCGACGAATTCATTTGGTGTCAAATCAAAGCGTAAGAGCGAATAACACACCTAATATTTGCCAAAAAGAAATTTTTTCAATACTAAATCTTAAATTGCTTTGGGACATTTAGATTCGTCTTAATGTGCCCTCGTTAAACGTCGTGATACAAGACTCCAGATTTTCTACACAAATGGAAGGAACGGTAGTAGTGGCATACGGAAGATCGGCTGACTGTTTGTACCGTAGCTGTACTGGATATGCAACAATAAAAGTTGGAATCACTGAAGCGAATCTCGAGGGAACTGATTTTCAATTTCCATCGTCTATTCCTTATCACAGTTGGGGATGGCCAGCTTGTGCTAAAGTGTTGTTCAATCCAACCATGAGTGGAGACCGAAAAAAATGGTCAGTTCGTTGTGGTGGTAACTGTGGAGGTTGTCAGCCTGACCCTCTTGTTCTTCATGTTGATGGTTGCTAATGTATACTATTTAACACTTATCTACTGCGAACGAAGGAAACATTAGGTTAGCAGAGTAAATTATCGATGGTCGAGGGTCCACAAAACATAATGTTTTCTGAGTTCTCCGTAAATAGGTTTTCATTATATACCACTTGTCAAAGAAAAACCAGAAACTACAAGTTGAACAATGAAATATCTATTCATAAAAGACATAATTTCAAATGGATAAACAGTCTAAAGGTCACACGTCCAGGTGCGCCGCGCGTGATTAAAGTTGTTATTTCCCATGAGATAAGACGTTATCTCGCCCTGCTGGGGGTCACTCTCGCGTGATTCGTTCTCGACCAATGAAATGCTAAGAACACCAAACCCCGACAAGTGGTATACAATAATTTAAGTTCAGTGGCGTAGCCAGAACGATAATTGGGGGGCCCATATTCATATATTCGCGATACTCAGGTTTAATTTCTTTTCAAATCAAGTTTCTTTACAGTCTGTTAACATGGATATATGAATATGAGCCCCCCCCCCCCAATTATCGACGCTGGCTACGCTACTGTTTAAGTTATTTCCGTTTATTTTCAATTATAAACCAACGCATTTTTCATATGCATCAGTAGTGTACACATATACACACAAAATTTTAGACGCTTCTAAAATTTGTATTATCTAACATCTACACTGGCGGTCAAAAAGAACTGCTCAAATATTGCTATTATCGTATGTAACAGGAATCGTAACAAACAATCTTTTATTGTACACTGCCGGTCAAAAAGAACTGTTTAGATACAAATTTATAAAGAAGAAGCGAATATAGGAAAGAGCTTCATGGGAATTTTGGATAATTCTCTTATTCCAAGCAATATTTTAGTAATGTTATGCAGCCTGCCACACTTCCAAGATAGTCAAACAATGGTTTCATGGGAAAAGAGAGTGACAGAAATGGATTGGCCTGCACAGTCAAAATACCTTAACTATATTGAAAATCTGTGAGACAATGTCAAGGGGATAGTGCATGAAAGGAATTAACTCATAAAGCGTCCATGATTTACGGGTTGCTGTAAAAACTGTCCATAGGATAAATTTCGTCTGACCGCTCAAGATTACCACCTTAACAAAAAGTATGCCTCGTCGGTGTAAGGCCGTCATCAATTATAAGGCCAAAAAGACGGTCAACAAAATATTACTATTTCAAATAGCTTAGCATGTATCTAGTCTATATTTACTCGTATATATTGTTAGAGGGACCGTTACCTTCATTTGAGAGCATTTTAACTTGTTTTGAGCAGTTCTTTTTGACCGCCAGTGTAAGTTACATGTAAGTTCTTTCCATTTTGTTAATGCAATCCGTACAAATTTCGAAAATTATTCAGGATATATATCTTAAAGGATTTTCTCTCCAGGGTTTCCGAAAAATACGCTAGCTTTAAGATTCAGTTTTGCTATATAAAGAATCATATACTTATCATAGGATTGGCTAAACACTAGCTTCGAGCTTAAATTTTATCATATTGATCTCTCGTCGGTTGTACGAAACTTCTAAATAATGTGTGAATATTAGATTGCGGATGGGAAAATTCTGGATGGGAAAATCTGACCGTGGCTCGAGCCACGTTCGATACGGTCTAGATCCGCGCCTGTGTAACAACGAACATTGAATACGAGGTGTTCGTCTTTTTTTCGAGTAAAAGAACGGGACCAATCATCGTTGGATGGACTCCCTCTTTTCCTTTCTTTAACTAACAGGTGCTGGTACGATATGGGTGTAACATTATACGGTCCAAAATCACATTATAAGGTCCAGAATATTTTCTAAAGTTTGGAAACGAACAGTGGTTCAGAAGCACATAAACTAAAACAGTGGATTATAGAATTTAAGCCAAGTTAGCGATAACCTAGCTTTAAAAAACCGGTCCCTGGTCATTACTGGATAATCAACCAAAAATGCTTGGTTAACTCGTCTTCGAGAAACCAACTATGATGTCATGTGCAAAAGATATAATAAAGAATTATTTCATCCCCTCGAAGTGCTGAATGCTACGGTGCAAAGATGCACCAGAATCTTGACCTTGATAAACCTCAGCGTCATTCTCAACCTCCTTGAATATTTGTCTGTATTGTTCAGTAACCGTTACATTTGACCTCATATGCCACATACAGACTACAATATATGAGATATTGCCAGGTTTTGCTCTAAATATTCAATCAGCGTTCGCTGGGAATTAACACCGAATGAATTAAAAATAGGTCACATTGGTCTTGAAAATGCCCGCGACATCATTTGGGCGCAACACTTGAAGAAAAACGTTCACAATAATTGTAAAAAATAAGAATGTTTGATTTGCATACTATTGTTGACAGAGAGAAATTTCTCTATATTTATATTTCATGCATTGATCCAAGATATCTAAACACATAGTTCGCCCAACAGAAACGGAAGTGCTCCGAAACGCTTGAGTATATTTTCAAAGTAGCTTTATTTCATCTAAGTATAGATATGCCACTTCCTTTACCACAACAGGTGTATGTCTGTAAGACATACTCGAATGCCGCGGGGGTTGTCGAAACTGGCATCACTTTTCAATCAAATGAAAAAAATTTTAAAGATGTAGACTTATTTCACTAAATAAAAAACCAGAAAGTGCCTTTAATCACTTGGCCAGTTGCGCGTTTTAAGACACATAAGACACAAACAGACAGTTGACATCAAAAGGCATCAAAAATGTTGTGGTAAACCAAGTAAAATAATACGCCAAGCTTTAATTACGACAATCTCCGAAGCCTGGCGACGGTTACGTTGTCGAATGCAATGGACGGCAGTCGCGAGAAATCAAATCGATTAATATCGCGAATTTTAAATCAGTTGTCCAGTGATAAAATATTCAGGCATTTCTGCATGGCATGACAATTTTGCATGCCAACGGTTATTAATTATACAACGTCTGAACAGGTGAACGAAGATTAATTATGCATATAGTGACACTTTCTAAAATGGCTGTGTCCTGTTAAAATGCCGCGTACCTCGATAGCATTTCTGTTTATCAACGACCATACAACTAAAATATCTGAACTTCTGTTGCAGTAAACCAATTTTTTGTCAAGATATCATTTTCGCTGTCAACGGCTAAAGAGTTTATATTAATAACACATAACTTTGGACGGCTGTTGTGGTTTTAATAAAACATTTCAGCTCATCTCCCTTGGTCATATTTCCGTGGCAACAGTCACATATAACATTTAAACCGTACTTGGGCTGCGCTAGGGCAGTTGTATGAAAGACTAGTTAGCTTTTAACTGTAGTTACAAGGACAAAATTGGCCATTGTGTATTTCTTTCAGTTAACTATAGAATTTAACTATGCAAAGCGTAGTTAAAGAGTTTCATATACAACCGGTGAAATGACTAGCCGATGTTGCCAATTTTTGCTGTCAATGGTTAAAAAGTTTATGTTAATGAATTAATAACACAAAACATTGAACTGTTGTTGTGATTTTGATAAAACACCCCCTTGGTATTCCATGGCAACGGTCACATATAAAATCTAAGCACCTGCTGTGGTCAACCAAGTTGCTAATTAACTAATAAGATAGCCAACTCACGTGACAGTCAACCGATGAGACCAACCAATGAAAGGCAAGGGAATTACATTGCCCTGGAAACAAAAGGCGATTACCCGGCAAAAGTTCTAGCTAGTTTTAGCAACAAGCAAACGTTATACAAATTATATATCGACACATTTCAAGGACAAAACAGACGAAACATAATCAGACAGCATCATATACGACAACGATATTTTTCAAAGCACAAGTCAGTGGTAAATGACATGAAGGTGCACAAAATATTGCAATTTGATGCTTGCTTGATTACATGTTTCTTTATTGGACAAATATGGAGCAATGCGCGAGCCGAACCTTTCAGGGAGGAATGTGCTAGGAAAGGGATATTCAAGAAAAAACAGAAAGGTATAAGTTAATTCTTTTTAGTATTATCATTTATCATTTATTTCATTTATAATATATATAGTTCATTATCTTAAACACATACAGACAAAACAAGTAAAATTGTATTCATTCAAGGCAATTAATATTAGGTTACACTCTGAAAGCGTTCCAAGCGGTATGAAGCTCTAGAAATATTTTTACTATGATAACTCTTGAAATATTTTTCATTAATTTATTTTTCATTAATTCATTTTAAAAGGGATAGAAAACTCTTTTCTCAGTAACTCAGTTATAGTTGTTGTGTTATTAAGTGGTTGTGAAGGCTATGATTCCGTGGCCCAAATTTATATGACTTCTGTTTGCTTCTTTTTATTTCAATCTATTTAATTTGGGTTCGCGACTTTATTCAAATTATTTCCAGCCATTTCAATTTCATTAGGTTATGTATACAGGGAGTATGAAAAAAACTGCAAATACCATAATTTGTATGCAGGAGATCTTTTCAATGGCCGTTGCAACTAATTACGCTTTTGGGATATGGAAATACGTTTCACGTTTCACGGAAACACACAAAGTGAATTAAAGTTATGAATTCGATTACGAATGGTTCAATTAAGAATGGCTATGAATGATTACGAATGCTTTTGTTAGCTGAGCCATTTCGTAACCGAACTAATTTTAATTCACTTTTTTGTGCTTGTTTTGATAGTATTGCACGTGGAAACGTATCTTCAAATCTCACTAAGAAGTGTAATTAGTTGCACCGCGGCCATTGAAATTTTAATGCAAGATATCGTGCATATTATGGTATTTCTGGTTTTTTGTATACACCCTGTATTTGTAGTTTTTTGTATACACCCTGTATAATATTTAAACCCAAGACTACGTCAAACGCCCGTCTTAATTCCTTCATTAGTGCGTTCAGCGCATATAAATGTAGGTGCTTACGTCACGGGACTGTCAAACAATAAATTGCAATGGAATGTTGGAAGCATGTAGGAAAAATTAACCTCCTTTTACATAGATAGAAAACTGTGTCATTTTACGTAGATTGGAAACTTCTAAGATCTATTGAATTACCATTTCACCGTGTATTTAATTTTGATGAAATGTTTTATACCTGTCTTTAAAAACTATAATATTGCAGATTCATCATTGCAAAACCATATCATTAAAACTATTGAGGTCAATCACCTGGCAATGTGTACAATCGCTTGTTTGGATCATGCGCAATGCAAGTCATACAATTTCCAAGAAACAGAAAACCCTCTGAAATCATGTGAACTTAGTTCTTCTACTAAGGATTCATCAAGTTCAGACGTAATATCTCGACCAGGGTACTCATATTACGATGCTCAGGTAATTGTGACTATATTTTAAATAATGTACAGAAAGCCAAACGTATAATTACAATAGATCCTAGGTTAATGGTTAGCCTTACAGAAGGATTGTTTACTGCTAATATTTCGTTGTTTTTGTTTTTTTTTTATTATTTTTTCCCCTATGTACAGTTTCATCTATACCTGTTAATAAGTTTTCTATAGTAACTTGGGCTAGAGACCTACTAGAAACCTTGACAGGCTTTTCAATTTAGGCCCCTAGTTAAAGTTCAATTATATTAATCATATATGTACAATCAAATCAGCAAAATCAGCAAAATAATTTTTAGAGCACTACTATTTACAGAAAGAAGAAAGATAAAGTAAAAATTAATTATAATACCAATAGAAGATAGAATACCACAATACATTTATGCTACGAGTTCCTAGATAATATACATAAAAAGTAGAATATTTTCAGAACCATTATGCTGTATTTAGCAAAAAATGTTTTTTAATATGTCTCTTGAAAACGCTATGAGAGTTTATGTTTTTAATTTTTAATTCTAGTGAATTCCACACATCAGCTCCATTATTTGAGAGAGTATGTTTTACATAATTTGTTCTTTTATACCGCTTATGAATCTTTGATGAGTTTCTCGTATTATGTTCATGAATTTGATTACTGGTCACAAAGAAATTATCAAATTCTTCAGGTAGATTTTTAAGATGATGATATCGAAACATAAACATAGCAGTTAAATAATGATTTAATTTAAAGACATCTAAGATGCTTAACTCTTTGAAAATCTGCTCAGAATGTTCCAGGTACGATTTAAATGTCATTAATCGTACAATTTTTTTTTGAATATTCATTATTTTTTGAATCCTGGTTTTGTAGGTGTTACCCCAAATCAAGTTGCCGTAAATAAGATATGGATAGACTAAGGCATAGTAAATTAACTTAATTGAATTTCTGTTGACAAAATGTCGGATTTTTGCAATTATAGCGGAGGCTCTAACGATTTTTTTTGATACCTTTTCAATATGTTCATTCCACGTCAGACATTCATCAATGATAATACCTAGAAAGTTTGTACTTTTGACTTGCTCAATATGTATATTATTTATCGTAATTTTAACTTCATGTTTGGGTTTTTTATTGAAGGTCTGAATATAATAAATTTTGTTTTAGTAATATTTAGGGATAATTTATTAACATTTAACCATTCAGTTACATTATTCATTTCTGTTTGCATGGTTTCACTAATTGTTTTAAGACAATTATTACTATAAAATATATTAGTATCGTCTGCAAATAATACAAATGAAACTAATTTACTGCAATTTTCAATATCATTTATATATAATAGAAACAGAATAGGTCCAAGAATTGATCCCTGTGGGACTCCAGTCTGAATTAACATCTCTTTTGACCTAATTTGATCGTATTTGACGATTTGCTGCCTATTTGATAAGTAGTCTTGAAACCATAGTTGAGCTACTCCCCGAACACCGTAGTGTTCTAGTTTTTGAATCAGAATCTTGTGATTAATTGTGTCAAATGCTTTTGACAAGTCTAGGAAAATACCTATTGTATATTCTCCATTATCGATTGCTTTAGTTAATCTGTTAGTAAGTTCAATTATTGCAAGTTCAGTGGATCTGTTTTTCTGAAACCATATTGATGCTGTGTTAATATTTTGTTTTTTTCAATAAATCTAATTAATCTTTTATACATGAGCTTTTCTAACAATTTTGAGAAACAAGTGAGAACAGATATTGGTCGATAATTTTTAAACTCGTTTTTTTCATTTGCTTTGAAGACTGGTGTGATCAATGCTTTTTTCAAGTCATCAGGAATAATTCCACTAATAAAAGTTAAGTTGAAAATGTGTGCAAGAGGTTCGGAAATTTGATTAGCAACACTCTTGATAACTTTCGCGCTTATACCGTCGTACCCTGGGCTTTTCTTGATATTTAATTCAGTAATTTCAGTTTCTAATTCATATTTGGTTATAGGCTCGATGAAGAAGCTATTTTTATAGCTACCCGTTAGAAATTCATCAAAAGTTCTTTCACAGTTCGGGAGCTTTCTGGCTATTTCTGGTCCAACATTCACAAAATATTCATTGAATTTATTTGCTATGGTGTGAGGATCTTTAATTTTTTTATCAGGATTATTTCCGATAAATTCTTTCGGCATATTTCTTTTTTTCTCGTGTTTGTTTATAATTTGGTTAAGTGTTTTCCATAATAATTTTGTGTCGTACTTGTATTTTGCTAGTTGTTCTTCGTAATGCTTCTTTTTTGCTACTTTTATAACATGGTTAAGTCTATTTTTGTACTTTTTGTAGATGTTTTCATTCTTTAGTATAGGGTGATTTAGGAATTTCTTATACAGTTTGTTTTTTTTCTTAACAGACTTGGCAATGCAATTTGTTATCCATGGGCTTTTATTTTTGTCAACACTTTTTTTAATTTTTTTTTTTGTCAGTGGAAAGTTTCTATCATAGACAGTTGAAAATGAGCCAAAGAATTCATTATAGGATTCAGTGGTGATATTACTAGAGAGAACATTTTCCCATGACATACTTGTGATGGTGTTAGTAAATGCTTTAATACAAGACTCATTTATAATTCTTTCACATTTAAACTCCTTTACTGGTATAGTCTCTTTATGAGTCTTCAAACTTCGTATGTGAACAATAGGCAAATGATCAGAGATGTCAGAAAAGATAATGCCATTTGTACTTGAGTCTATACTTTCAATATCATTAGTAAAAATATTGTCTATTAGTGTGGCCGTATGTTGTGTGATTCTCGTTGGTCTCAACACCAAGTGGAATGTATGATGATGTAAATAATACCTCTAGAAATCTCTTTGTATAATCACAAGATTCTGATTTAAGTAAGTCAATATTGAAATCCCCCATAAGATAGCATGTCTTATTTTCTTTATCTATTTTACCTAGTATTTCATTAATTTTGTTTTCAAATTCCTTTATTTTATTGTTTGGTGGTCTGTATATTACACCTATTATTATATTTTTACCAGCCGCTGTTATAAGTTCAATAAATACTGACTCAATAGTGTTTTCTTCGTTTAAGTTTAGGTCAGTACGTAATTTATATTTCATTTGGTTTGAGATGTAAATACCTACTCCTCCGCCGTTTTTATTGCATCTGTTTGCATTTACAAAATCGTAATTTTCTAGCATAAAGAGATCATCGTTACTATCATTTAGCCACGTCTCAGTTAAGCCAATTATTTGAAACGGTATGTTGAATGAGTTTTTAAGTTGTTTAAAGGAATCAAATTTATTAGCTATGCTCTAGTATTTAAGTGCATCAGTGAAAGGCTATTAGTATTACTAAGATTCGCTCTATTTGTTTTTTGATTGAAATCGTCTGGCAGGTAATATTCACAGTTTATTTTAGTCTGGCTTATATCTAAATCTTCGTTGTTCTTAGACAACGCTATATTATTATTTGTGTCGAACGGGTTGAATTTTAAATGCTTTAGTCTATCCATATTGTCTTCACTGATATTGTTTCCGTTAAAAATATTAAATTCAAATTCAAAATCATCCAGCGTTTGAAATGGCAAAGTATCAATTAAACAATTTTGACACACATCGATTGTTTTATCAATATCTGAAGTGGTGTTAAATGATTTTACGCATGCTAACCTAGCGTGAAACCATTTACCGCATGTAAGACATACTGTTGACTTTTGCGTTTCTTTAATTATTTTATAGCAAGAAGCGCAGGTTTTCTTTTAAGAAGCGCAGGTTTTCTTTTAACAAGGAACCGACTTGGTGTGTAATAATAAGGATTTTCATGCGCTATTATAGTTGGTGGCTTGGCGCTGAAGAAGAACATTAATTTTTTAATTGAAATAGAGGGCTCTTGTAAGTTGAAAAATCGCAAGGAGAAACCATGATGTACTTCACAATTTGATCTCATATGCACTTACCTAAACAGATATTACTCATACTATTCCGAAATACTTCGTTTCCTCTTTTGTCTTTAAAAGAAACCAGGGCAGGGAAGAAAGGGGGCGTTTTCTCCGGGCCCTAGGAAATGAGAAAGTTGTATACAATACAATACAGTAGAATGATTATATTATGTATATAAGGGCTGGATTTAGGGAAAAGAATGGCTATTTTTCAACCAAATATCCGACTCTAAAACCTCGTGCACCATCTTTGTAATTAACACCTTGTGTGATTTAAAGACCTTGTTTTAGGCAATTCGTATCACAATAGAGTGAATACATGTATCTTTACTCTCTGCTCTTAGGACGAACCTCCGTGTTACGCATCTTGTCCAGGTGAAAAATGTGTTTACACCTGCTCAGGGCCGCCTACTTGTAAATGTCCCGAAAACATTTATTACCCAGTTTTTCAAGGACGCCATTGTGAATATCCATGTAAGTATTCAATTGTCAAGAAAAATGGATCTGTGTTCGAAGTAATCAGTGTGGTACCAAATATATCTTTTTTAAATACATGCATGCATGCGTACTCTAGGTCATTATTTATTAAATATACAGGGTGAAGAAAAAGTACTCAGGTTTCATTGATAGTAACCTTTTAACCAGTGAGGCCATTACACTGAAATACATTTCATTACATAGAGTGAGTGCGAATATAGATTTTGGTGGCTATATTACAATTAATTTTTACCTAAAAAAGCGTAAAATGGACTTTGAGAAAAGTATTGAAAAAAGTCTTTTCGAAACAAAACAATGACATGCTATTGTTAGGATGATCACACGACTACCAGTCGAGAATCGTGTTATTTACTCGTTTCAATATCTCAAAGTCCATTTATTTTACGCTTCGTTAAATCTCGGTAACTCCCGCATGGCTCATGTGAACAGCCCCTAAGTGTTCAAAGTTAATAATAGCGGATTTATATACATGGTGTACAAAAAAAACTGCAAAACTTCATATTCATAATTATATGTTCGCTTCTGTTCAATAACAAAGACATCCCTGTTCAGACATCCCTAAATAATGTAGCGATTTTGAAAATATCCCCCCCATGAATTTTATTAAAAAACAACAACAAATAGCGTATCAAAATGTAAGACAGTCTTTCCTCTAATTTATGGAAGTTGTTTCATTTCGATAACTTTACTCGATAAGAAACTTTGTGGAATCAAAGCGGAGTACTAGACTAGTAAAGAGTTCGTAATTAAAATATTAATTATCTCAGCATGCTTATTTCAGCCGTTTCACCAAATCTAAGGGGCTGTTCACATTAGCCCGGTTGCCGAGATGTAACGAAGCGTAAATAGCACGATTCTGGATCAGTCTGGTAGTCCTGCAATCATCCTAACAATAGCATGTGATTGTTTTGTTTCAAATTGACTTTTTCCTATACCTCAAGGACTTTTAACTCGAGTTGTTAACAGAATCGGCTAATCGTGTCTTTTGGATTTAACTACGATTTAAAAACTGTAGGTTGTCTGGGACAAGAGGGTAATATTTTGCCACTCTATATTATTCAATGCATGGATGCATGGCCAAGCACAATAAAGTCAGGCGAACACCAGTGAACTAAACACGTAAACATGTCACTTGAGAAAATGATTTTCTATTGCTACTGCTAGAAATGCATTATTTAATTCATTCAGAAATAACCACCAAGCCTCGATAGATGATCTGTCAGGCTGGTCATTCGTCCAGGGCCGGTTGTATCAAAGCCCATTTAGCTTAAACGGTGGATAAGTTAAAATTAAATAACACTCTTACATCTCTCTTGAATGAGTCAACTTGATATATGAACTGAATATGTAGTTGTAAACATGCAGTATCGTTGTATTAAAGTAAAAAAAAATTAGTTCGCTTGTTGAATAAAACGATAAACTTTCTTTCTATTTGAGCTTAACCACCGTTTAGGCTAAACGGACCTGATACAACCGGCCCCATGCAGACAGATAATCCGTCTCTATAGCTATAAGACAAGTCTGATATCTACAGTAGAGACGGGTGTCCGTCTTGACGAATGATCAGTCTGACAGATCATTCGTCTGAGTATTAACGCACGACAAACTATATCCAGACGCCGGGATATGTCAAACGAGCCAGAATCGCGCGTTTAGAAAGCGCACGGGAATTGGGTCTATACAAACTAGTGAAACTACCCATTCAAATTCGTCTAAATAGACAAACTATGCTGGCCTATAATTTACACACAGACGAACTGAAAGTCGAACTATATCTTTCGCTTTTCGTCGTCTAGACCGAATGATTCTGTCTCTAGTATAAATGCAATAACTACAAACGGTGTCAACGAGTCGGTAGTCCATGAAACAGCAAACATACTGATCAGCAAGCATGGCAAAACTTGAAATACAGCATGCAATCAACTTACTTTTAAATCGGTATCACCGGATAATTTCGGTCGTTTACAACGTACGCCATGAAACATGCCCGTTGCTTGAAATCTGTTCATGTCGTTCAGACGTCCACCAATCACGAAAACGGTGCTAGATTTCAGGCGCGCAGAGCGGGCTTGATGTTATAATATGTTATATGTGCAGGGCGTATAAAAAAAAGAAAACCTTTCGAAATTTATCTATTGTGAAATTAAGTGCCCCATCGCTATGTTAAGCCCTTGGATGTGTAAAATATTGTCAGCTTTGTGCATATATTACATGTCTTTGTCACAAGCACAAAAGCCTTTCAGCTCCTGGGAATTTGACACAACCTCTAAAAGCAAAGTTCTGCACAATAATAACAATGCGTTGTCAAAGATTTTATCGTCCAGAGGCCGATTATATGAAAGCCGGATAGCGCTATCCACCGGATAGTGATTTTTTCAACCCTTCTGTTATATGATTTTAATTCTTCTATGCACGAGGTAGGAGATCTTTACAAGGGTTTACTAAAGTTCACTAATGTTCTCTTCTTTCTCCGTTCTTCTCTTCTCTACTTCTCGATCTTCGTCGTTTAGCGTTCTTGTCTTTGGTCGTCTGTTCCGTCAGGTTGAGCTTCCTAACGTTTCATAAGTTAATCTTTACTCCGTCAGTCCACTGAAGGTTGGGGTGTTGTGCACGCCCTTTTATAGTAACGGTTGAGGGAAACTTGCAGACGTCATCAACCAGAGTGGGCTGATCCTTATCCAACCAATCAGCGTTGTAAGTTAGAAATGTGGGTTGGTCTTAGAAGCTCGTTCCAGCTCTCATATCTTGTTTGTTTAAGGCGTTGTCGCACTAGTCGAGTTGGTCTTCTGCTCAATCGATCAATACTTAAAAATGTTCACAACTTAAAATGTTTATCATCAACAACTAGTAAAATTTACAAATAATACGTCTGTGAACAATATCTTTCAACTTAAACTATTTTCACTCTTATTTTATCGAATTGAACTTTTGATGACGTAATCTATTACATGCTTGACCGAGCAACATTTTTAACACAATTGATTGACATAAGAACTTGAATGGCCTACAGCACGCACACTTTTTTAAAGAATGCGACCATTTAGATAAGTGAAGACTTAAGACTGTTTATCCAGGTATTAATTCTGAGAGGATTATAAATATTTTCACCTTATTACTTATTTAATCCCACGATATGTCATACATGAAAGGGAAAGGCGTTTAATGTTTGCTAATGGCCGAAAATTATATTTACTCTGGCGTCTTGTGGCAAAAATCATTCACTAATCCCTGTCATGCTATTGACATTCCTATTTTTGCAGCTATTTTTATATGCATATCTCTAAACACAATAAAGCTTTGCGTAACACTTCTAAAAACGCTTGAATAGCTATAAAATTTCAGCTTTGTAGCCAACATTGGTTAAAGAGGACCCTCAATTTAGGAATACTAAGTGTTAATCAAAGTTATACCCAACAACGGGCGATTTTAAAGCGATTGAAAAAATCACTATCCGGTGGATATAGCGCTATCCGGCTTTCATTAGAGAGGTTAAGATACCCCGGTTCCGGTGTACGGGTACGGGTGAATTACACGTACCCGTTACCGGTAAGACGGGTACGGTTTGCAACTTAAGAATTTTCTTAAATTCCGGGTAAGAACAACACCGGGTAAGAACTGACTATAAAAGTAAATATGTATTATACATTTAAATTGTAAGTCCTACTTAACTTTTATATAACTATAGTATTTCGTGTGTTTGTTTTGAAAATCAAAAATATCAAGATGGCGTTCATAAATTATGTTTGCAAACCATTTTTGAGAAGCCTGAACAATATGAACACCATATTAATACGTAAAATGTATTTTAAACGTGTTAAAGACACTCACCCGCTTCTCCATTTGTCCTTTATTAAAAAAACTTTGACCACTTTGTCTTTGTAGTTACCCGTTCGTTGTTTACGTGTAGACCGTCGTTTACAACGGGAAAACGGGTAGATATTACGGGTAAATATGCTGACATCGGCGAAAAATGGAAAACAAAATGGCGCTACCCGTACCCGTACACGGGAACCGGGGTATCTTAACCTCTCTATTTTGTATCAAGCCCGTTAAGCTTAAACGGTGGATAAGTCAAAATTAGATAACACTCTTACATCTCTCTTGAAAGAGTCAACTTGAATATTATGCACTGAATATGTAGTTGTAAACAGTATCTTTGTATTAAGGTGAAAAACATTTAGTTTGCTTGTTGAATAAAACGACAGACTTGCTTTCTATTTTGAACTTATCCACCGTTTAAACTAAACGGGCTTGATGCAACCGACCCCAGACTTATATCCACACTTAAAATACAGCCGTTCGGTACAAAACGCGTTTTGAGAAAGGTTGATTGAAATTAAATCCACGGTTGGGAAGCAAAACCTTGAACAACGCCGGTGCGAAATTAATGAGCATGCAGCACCAACTAATTCGTGCCATGCATCACAATCACCCCACTCGATTGTGTATGATTGTGCACCATCCGTCGTTTCGTCCATATTTTACGATTGGCTACCCTTAAGCGTCTCCGGCGCCGACGCATAACCAAAAGGAAAAGGAAAAGCAAAATTTCTTCGTCTTAACACAAATAATCGTCACTTTCATACTCCATGTTTAGTTTGTTTATTGTATATTTCACATTTACATATTCCTTGCTGCATGTTTTAATCGCATTTGTTCAGCGCACACTTGGCGCATTTGTCACGCGTGATAGAAAATATCAAACATGTTTGATAATTGGATATTACGACACGAATGACAGAATATCTCAATTTGGCCCCGCAGACGAGGAATATGTGCAGGTGACAATCGTCACGAGTGACGTGTGTGCGTGCTAAGTGCACCAGTGTGCGCTAGGCTTAAGATGACAATAAAGCTTAATGTTTGAATCGCACCCGATCGACCAAAAATGGACGTATATATAAGCCCTGGTATAGTAACTGGCCCGATTTATATGAGACGGATAATCTCACGAACTTGGGCAAGCAAAAGATAGTTCATAGTTCGTCTTCAAGTTTGTCTGTGTTTAAACGCGGGCAACCATGCAGACGGATCATCCGTCTACAAGAACTTGGTCTTGGATAGTTCATCTTTTACTTCCTCTGCGTGTAAGGCCTGTTTTCCACTTCAACCGTATCGTAACGTAACGTAGCGTATTTCTTTGTTTCCGGAGGATTCGATGAGAACTAATGACTTTAAAACAACGAGATACGCTACGTTTCGCTACGATACGGTTGAAGTGGAAAACGGCTTTAAACACGCGGGCAAACAGACGGATCATAACTCAACACGAATTATCTGCATAGTTCGTTTATTACTTTATTTAGACGAACTTGAATGGGTAGTTCGCCTTGACGCACATTCGTTTGTTGAATATAAATACAGAGTGGGGAGAACTACGAAAATTCATCATAAAATCGGGCACTTGTGCACTCTTTTTACCACATAAATAATTTCCCAATCCCCGCAGCCAAGTAGTTTCTAAACGCACGATTCAGTTTTGTTTGACATATTCCGGCGTCAACATATAGTTCGTCCAAATAGTTTGTCGTGTGTCCAGACGGATCATCCATGAGATATTTCTTAACAGTTTCGGCCGATTTATTGTGTTATGCCAAATGCTGACATTTAATTACTGCTCCCTTTCCTTCATCAGTCGCCATTTTTACAAAAGCACGCTAATAAAGTCGTTTGAATTATTGCATTGCTTAGATCCAGCATCGTGTAAAATGGTGAAAGACATAGGTTTTAATCAAGGCGATGGTGAATATCAGCTGTATCTTCTACATCCCACCTGTTCAAAACCAGCTCGAGTGTATTGTGCTGATATGGACACAGAGAATCCGTTGGAATATGTCACATTACCTGCTGGCAGAACAACCAACTATGGTTTTAATAATCGTCCACCAGGAAATGCTTATACTTCGGAGCATGGTAAAACTGGATACGATAAGGTTATCATCTTTATCATTTTCCCTCTAAACCCCTCTAAATAAGGTGAAATAACGTTTGTTTTCAGCGTTACCCGCGTTTACGGCTAAACGGCAAGATTATGATTTTTCCTTTGAAATTTCCGCGCCAGAGGCCTGGATCATACCTACAAGAAAGGCTTCATGAACCGCCATCTTGGCTTCACTCATTAATGAGAGAAAGTCAGAGAGTGAGCGTTCCAGTTTCATTTGAGTTCACTGTTCAGTTCATGCACGACTCCAGTTTCCAGCTCGTGGTGTAATAGACCTTATGCATAATGACGCAACAAGCCGTGAAACTTGGAGGGAATTCTGGTGTTAGTAGTCACAGCGGGAAAATTTCGAAGTTTGAGTTTTTCGCCGTGACTACAAAAACAGAATTCCCTACAGGCGTCACGTCACGGCTTGATACGTCATTATGCATAAGGTCTATTGTTAAATATCACGTTCAACCTCGTCCAATAATTATATAGTAGACAAGTATATATATCTGGAAAACAGCTCTTACTCTTAGGGATTATGACGCCAGTATGATCTTTCGCCAGTACGATGAGTCTATCACGAAGATATGACTTATCCCGAAGTTTTGCTCGGCTTTAGAAAACGGCACCGAGTTTGGCGCGAAAATGACGAATTTTATTCTCGATCGTAGCTGTTTTCGTAGTAACTGATAATGGATATGAAGCTCCTATTACCTGTACTGTAATTAAGTTGATCAAAATACGGGAAATTAAGTGCTACGCCAGGTGAATTCGCCTCAGTCATTGTAATATGTAAACAGGAATAACGCAACTCATCTTTGCCAACAAGGTTTAAATTTTTTAATACTAAATCTTAAATTGCTTTGGGAAATTTAGATTCGTCTTAATGTGCCCTCGTTAAACGTCGCGATACAAGACTCCAGATTTTCTACACAAATGGAAGGAACGGTAGTAGTGGCATACGGAAGAGCGGCTGACTGTTGGTGGCGTACCTGTGATGTATATGCAACACAAAGATTTGGAATCACTGAAGCGAATCTCGCGGGAACTGATTTTCAATTTCCATCGTCTATTCCTTATCACATTGGTGCATGGCCAACTTGTGCCAAAGTGTTGCTCAATCCAACCATGAGTGGAGACCGAAAAAAATGGTCAGTTCGTTGTGGTGGTTACTGTGGGGGTTGTCAGCCTGACCCTCTTGTTCTTCATGTTGATGGTTGCTAATGTATACTATTTAACACTTATCTACTGCGAACGAAGGAAACATTATGTTTTGTGGACCCGAGACCTGTCGATATTTCACGAGGCGAAGCCGAGTGAAATATCGATGGTCGAGGGTCCACAAAACATAATGTTTTCTGAGTTCTCAGTAAATGCGTTTTTTTATTATATACCACTTGTCAAAGAAAAACCTGAAGCTACAAGGTAAACAACAAAATATCTATTCATAAAAGACATAATTTCAAATGGATGAACAGTCTAAAGGTCGCACGTCCAGGTGCGCCGCACGTGATTAAAGTTGTTATTTCCCATGAGATAACACGATATCTATTCTGCTGGCGCTCGCGCTGGCGACATCAAAATTTCGTCACTCTCGTGTGATTCGCTTTTGACCAACGAAATGCTACGAACACCAAAATCTGACAAGTGGTATGCAATAATTTAAGTTATTTCGTTTATTTTCAATTATATACCAACGCATTTTTCATATGCATCAGTAGTGTGCACATATACAAAATTTTAAACGCTTCAAAAATTTGTATTATCTAACATCTAAGAGTTACATAAACGCTCTTTCCATTTTCAGTAGGGTTTCTCAAATATACGCTAGCTTTAAGATTCAGTTATGCTATAAAGAATCATATACTTATCATAGGATTGGCTAAACACTAGCTTCGAGCTTAAATTTAATCATAATGGCTCTGACCGGTTGTATGAAAACCGGGTATATAGCCTTATCTACCGTATAGTGATTTTCAACCGATTTTATCCTTCCATGGAGCCAATAATTATTAAAGATAAAAAAAAGGTTATCCAGCTTTCATAGAACCGGCCCTGAAGCCAGTTGTTCGAAAGGCGTTTAACATCAGAATATTTCTGATGAATTACATATGTTAAGGCTAAACGCATTTGGAAACACCGGTCCGGGGGCCCGTTGTATGAAGCCCGCGTTTATAGATTAAACGGTAGTTAAGCTCAATAGAAAGCAGTCTATCGTTTTATTCAACAAGCGAACTAAATGTTTTTTACCTTTATAATACAAAGATACTGTTTACAACTACATGTTCAGTGCATAATATTGAAGTTGGCTCATTCAAGAGAGATGTAGCTAAGAGTGTTACTTTATCCACCGTTTGAGCTAAAGGATACAATAATAACTTAACAAGGCAATAAGCCAATATTGTTTATATGAATGTCAAAGTCTAGTATGTTTTTTGGTACATCCTACATGTAAAAAGTGGCCCAAGAAGAACCAGGTTTTAAATCAAGTTTCTGATAACACAAAAGAGCTTGATTTCAAAGGAGCGTATAAATTTTGGGTCACCCAGATTGATAGCTAATTTTGCAATTCTTTTGCACGTATACATATATATAAAACTGGTTTGTATGTGGCACAAGACTGGTTCATGCATGTATGTATACTTATATAGTAATTATCTGAATTACAAGAACCTGTCCAGTTAATACGTCATGCATTGATCACAAATTCCTAACAAGGACCACATTCGTTTAACGTCGGTTCACACGATCCAATTTTGTTGGATCCAATTAATTCACTTCTGAGCAGCAAATCTACTATGAAGCCAATTCAGTACTGCTTTTCGATAATATCAATAAAAATGTAATTGTTTTGGTTAAAGACTATAAATCCAAAAAGAATACTATATATCTGTTTAGTTGCCATTCTTTTTTACAAATTTAAAGCAAGATTATAAAGATCGGGTCCCTTCGAATGGCAGATTGATTTGGAAATCGCCCAAATTTGCTTTGACTCAAAACGTCCATGCAGTTTTAGAAGTGGCACATTCGTGTTGCTTTATCAACTACATGAAGGGGAGTTGGGAGTCACTTATATAATAAGTACATGGAGATCAACAGGAGAATGTATATGTATTTCAATGATAACGGCGCACACAGCTCCATTAGACAGCACGCGCATCTATATAATTGATAGTTTCGACTGTTCTTTCATGCCATATATTATTGTATATAGCTAACATAGCGGCAGATATAACGTCATGCATAGAGGGAAATTGGGTCGAATTGTAAAGTCGAGTTTGATCCAACATTAAGAGTATGTTGCGATAGACTGAAAAACAGGCCAGTGCAATCATTACAAATGTTCCAAAAAAGAGGGACATTAGATTTTGCAGTTGCTTTATGAATCGAAAATTCATCTCTGCATGCTCTTAATGCATGCATGTTATCGAATTTAGCATCCAACACAAAAGATCGGGACCCGAATGTAATAACACCGCGAGTTAATATTTCTTATGGTGCAAGTTTTGAGAATCGCAAAATATTTACAAAAATATTACAGCTTTAGTCAAAACTGCACAAAGGTACTTAGGACAGAGTACTCCTGCTATATACATGTTCACTTATTATTCTAAAATGATAAAACTTATATATTTCAATGTCATTTTGAGTCGCGTCTTTAATTCCTTTTGACTTTTTGAGCGGTGCCAATGTTGCATGTGTTGACCTGAAAGAAACAGAAACACCATGCCAAACCATTGATATACACAAATGTAGCCGGCGGCTACACTGTAATGTTTTCAAGATAGTTCGAATGCAAATTAACATACAGTATCATAGAATGTCAATATATTACTTAGAAATATTTTCAATAAAGAATACCACTACGTTAAAAAAGATAATAAAGGAATACGCAATGTATCAAATGGTTTTTCATGAAAGATTGCGTGATCCACGCATGAAAAAGGGTCGCGAGAATTCCGGAAACCCATCAGTTACTATGTAAAAGCGATTTACCGGCGCGTTACCGAAAACGATATCTGATTTATACGAGATCCGAAATGTGGCTCGAATTTGAAGTTGGATATATCCACCAAATATTAAGGATAGTGTTTCAGAGGAAACTCTCTTAATTCGTTAATGGTCTACAGGCAAGCTTATTTTATTTGATGGAATTTCTTGTTTTTTACATGTTTTTATGACGCAAATCGATATGCTTGCCTCAAGGAGCTGAGGTCTACTGGATATGATTGTCAAGGAACAGCCCGACCATGATGGAAATTCACTAAAGGAATGGACGACTTGCGCTTTAGACTAACTTTTGATCGAAGTAACTAGAGGAAAATGAATCACCCCAGCTAGAAAGATCTTATTTAAATTAGTAAAACTGCCAAGTTTAGCTGCGAAATTTTGTAAAATACGAAAAATATAGCCATGCGAAGTTGGCATATTTTGTATACTTTTGTATTACGTGCGGAAATGTGTAACTAATTTAGTTACAAACTTCCGGTCGTAATACAAAAGTATACAAAAATCGACAACTTCGCATGGCTATATTTTCCGTATTTTACAACAATTCGCAGTCAAACTTGGCAGTTTTACTTATTTTAGTAAGCTCTTTTAGAAAATGTCCTTTTTATCGCCGAGGTAAGAAATTAGTTTAAAGCGCAAGTCGTCCATTAAATAAAGCTACTCGTAGACCAGAATCTGAGTACCTCAACCCCTGAAAACATTCATGTCGTCTTCGTTGTCAAGTGTTTCCTTGACACAGTTGAAAGTTTCTTATCATATTTGTTTACCTTGGTCGCAAAACGAAGTGAGCTGAGAGTCTCTTGTAGAGAATCTTCACGAGGAGAGATATTGACAAACATTAGACTACAAAGAAATTTAAGATATCACTCAATTTTGCTTCATAAGAACACTTCCATAAGGCATTTATAAAGATAGATGGCAGAGAATCTAATACTGAGACTCGATATATTTCAGGAAAAGCAATTATTATCTATAGATCTGGGGGCATGCAGTTGTTTGTTTATATCAATGTTAAAAAATTCTTTACCCTTTGGCATAACAAAAAATCGAATCTTCAAAACTAAGTTAAAATCGTTTCCAATAAATATAAATTTAAGACGAAGCTTCAAGAATAGATTGTAAACTCACCTCTTACTGTTTCCACCAATCGAATTTTGAAGTAAATAGGTCAGTTTAGAATTTCTGTATGGCACATGGGAATCCTGAAAGAAGACGGACGAAACTCAAATTAATAAAGTTTATTTTTGTAAACGTATAAATTAAAGACTTGACCATGCATGAGATCACCCAGGAATGAAGCGGTTCAAATTTTTATACCTTATTATATACAGACGTCCTGGGCTGTCATAATATTGGCCTTGATACCTAACCTTCTAGTACTAGTAGCAAGTATTGTACAAAGTAAGTGATCATATACCTTGTTTGCCAAAGCATTGAACACAATACCCAGATTAGACAAACTCTTGTTGATATTTTGAGTTTCTTTCAATCTCGCCCCAGTCGACCCAGATTGACTCAAACGCTCGGATCCAGCCAGATCCACAAGACTCAGGGTACCTAAAATGTTATTAATATCAACATTCATTATTGACAGCATGATGATTAGTATACAATGCAAAAGGTGTAGAAACATGGAAAGAACCGAACAAAAAACATCTTGAGAAGTTTACTCGGGATGGTTATTTTTTTTTACTTGGCACTATTGCAATTTGCTACGTAGCTTTTCCAGATATAATTTATAATAGTTTTCTCTAATATAATTACCTTGACATTGCTCTCCCGTAATATCATTGTTTCCAGTTAATTTGAGCCGAAACACGGAATGGCTTCTGGAGGAGCGCTCATTGCAGTTCGTCGCCGCAACGGCGCGGTTCTCGTATGCCTTGTGCAGAAGACTTGATACCTAGAAAATTAATTTACATAGCACCATTGATGGACTTGAACCATCGTCAGAACAAAGACTGATTTCAAAACTGCCCCGGAATGGTTTAACTTGTCCATATTCGTGATAAAATGTTGCCAAGGTTTGGTCTGTTTTAGAAAGTAATCTTTTTATTGCTTCACTAGATTGATGCTCAGAGTCGTCAGTGTGATAAGATAACCAACAATATGTTAGCAATCAGAGTGGTCAAGGAAAATAGTCTTAAGTATTTTGACCTAGTCTTCATTTGAACGTGAATCACAGGGCGCTTTCCTTTAGGCGGCCAAAATGGTCGTAAATTATTTTGAATTGAAAGGGCCATAGTATATATGGCAGTCAACATATCAAATAACAGATCTCAACACGGAGACATTAAATACATTCGGAATAATACGGAACATGACAAAAATGACTTGCTCGAGACAACTTGAAACGAACCCATCTGAATTTTTCGATACTTTGATATCACGACGTCAGATTATTATAACTGGTTGCATGTGATATTATGTAACAACGTCAGTGGAGTCAAAATGGCGATACATTTTTTTAATACTTGCATACAATGTGTTATCACGTAGTTGTCGAATTGCGACTGTTGCCTTTGTGTATATTTGTGGATACATGCACGTACTAGAACCCTTTCTGGTTTTCAATAAATTCTCCACACATCTTAAACGATGAAAGACATGATCTATCGGGCTGCTCCCATTCCATTTATAATGTAAAGCCATGCATGCACCAATTAAAGTCATAATACGCAGCAAGCTCCCAACCTACCTGGTTCGGAGACTTCACCGTAACCGTTTTCAAGTTAGTGACGTCAACATCGTTCGCCTGCTTTCCGGTGTTTGTCACAACTTGCTTGATTTCGTGTTTTACGTTCGGGTCACCTGTGGCAAGCAGATCACGTATCGTCTCGTTGTATATCTCGAGAAATGACGCCTTCATATCGTACTAAGGGTATAAAAAAGAACGTTAATTTACTGTGTATATGTGCAAAATTTATTTCTAGAAAAACAAATTGTTTTGCTTAGTCATTTTTTTACCTTCCATCCTTTGCTCTCCAAATTTTCACAAGTATAAAACACTTGCTCCATGGCTCTAGGTATCATTCCCCAAGTCTCTCTCTCGCTTAAATCTCCCTCCATTGTGAACGTTTTGCCCGAGCCAGTCTGCCCGTAGGCGAAGATACAAACATTGTAACCGTCAAGCACGCTCTGCACCAACTGGGATATTTCCGAAAATACCGTTTCCTGAGAGGACACTGGAGGAAATACTTTGTCAAAGTTGAATGGAAGGTTGCTGGCTTGACGCTTCGTGCCACTTATGGACTAAATTAAAAAGTGAGAATATAGTCTTTTAACTTTTCATTTCAGTTTAAAAACTTTTGAAAAACCTTTAAATATAGCTTAGTGGTATCAAGTAAAGAAGTTTCTTCTGGAGGCGTCCATTAAAAAAAATGTCACCATTAGGTTAAAAATTATATTCCTCTTTACCTCACTTCCATTTGTTTGACACAAAACAACGTTTGTATCATTCTCAAACTCCATCTTCGTCAGCGGAACGTCAGCCTCGGTTGGTAAACTTGGTCTTACTCTGCAGAACACACGAATATTTCCCTTCAATTCCTGGACAGCGTTATGGAGCTTTCGTCGTGTTGTTTCTTCTTCTCTCAGCTTGCATTCTAACTCCTCAATAGTTTCCTCACGGGATTTGACGGTATTTTGAAGCTCAGATATCAAAACTGACTGGCGCTCAATCTCATCGTTTGCTTTCTTAAAAGAAACCTAAAAATAGGAGGTTCCATGGATTATAATTATCACAATAAACGAAGAATAAACCATTCAAACAAACTTGAATCTTACGGTGGGTAAGATACAGACTATCTGCACAAACTGTTCCCAAGCGCAAATCAGACCAGGTTATGAATCCCAGAGAGGACTGGCTGGCCTCCTTCATCAACACAGACCTTCATCAGTGCAGCTTGCAATTTACTACATACGTTATAGGGCGTTGTGTTGTTTGAAATTAATCTTCACGGTGGAGATGATTAATTGTAATACTCCACCGTGAATGAATTCCTAATGTAACTCTCTTTATAGTTTACAGCTGTTTATAGTTTATAGCTGTTTATACTTTATAGCTGTTTATAGTTTATAGCTATAAGAACCTAAATTCGATGCAGTGCATGTACGTTGTTGTACGAGTTCCTAAACATGCAAGTATGAATGTACAAAACGCTCGCGTTTATTGCCAATGCTTCTTACCTTTGTTGCCTCTAATTCCGTGTTGACAGTCAAAATTTCTGTAGTCATAGTTGATAATCTTTGCTTTAATGTTTTAATCTCGTTCTTCGCCAGTTCTGATTCAAACTTATATTCCTCGTTTTCCCGCTCGACGCGATCCTTCTCTTCTCGTTCTCTTCCCAATTCTTCACGTAATTCTCGCTCCACCAGTGACTTCTCTTCCAGACGAGACTGCAGTTCTTTGCTTAGCGCCGATGCCTGCATGGAACAGATGCGCAATGATAAGTTGGTTCAGTGGAATAAAAATACATGCAGTTGATTTTTTTTACCAGAAGTAGTAGAAATTTATGCATTCTGATTGGGTTACTGAAAATGTAATCAAACTTGCTGATTGGTCTAAAACGAAATCCCCCTTTGTTGTTTCGTATTGGTTTCGCTGATGAAATCATGGCGAAAACAAAAAGGGGCCGGTTGTATCCAGTCTGTTTAGCTTAAACGGTGGATAAGTGAAAATTAAATAACACTCTTACATGATCTGTCTTGAATGAGTCAACTTGAGTATTATGCACTGAATATGTATAGTTGTAAACAATATCTTTGTATTGAGGTTAAAAACATTTAGTTTGCTTGTTGAATAAAACGATAGACTTTCTTTCTATGTTAAACTTAACCACCGTTTAAGCAAAACGGGCTTGATACAACCGGCCCCTGGTAAACAGCAAGGTTTCTTTTCCTATAATAACGAGTTTGAATGAGACACGTGGAGCATTACAATATATCTAACCTCCTCTTTTTCCTTTTCCTTGAGAACGACGTTTCCTTGAAGTTGATCTTTTTGTGATTCCAGGGTCTCTATTCTCTGAATACTTTCCTGTTGTATGCTCTTCAATGTTGTCATATATTCTTCCATATCTTCCATCCGACCCTTGTAATCCCATGCTGCTCTTTTTGGAGCACCTTAAGGTCATGAAATAAGATATCACAATGTGAATACTTCACAGTGCATGCGATGCTGTTAATTAAAACGAATTCATTGAAACTGCTGATCAAAACTGCCATCTGAAATGCATATAAATTATTTTACCCATTATCGTTAGGGTAAAACAACCATATATCAACTAGTCAACGAATGAAAACCTAGCTACCGTAGCTCGTTTCATGGTTTTGCTCAATTGAGATTAAAATACCGTACTGTAATTGGATTCTAGAAGAGTAGTACTCTTCGTAAAAACTTTATTTCATATCGACCGCGAACAAAAGCAGCCAACATAATAAAACTTTATATTAATCTAAAGAATCACAGGAGACCAATAACTAAGTATAAGACGAGGGTGGGGGTGAAGAAGAAAGTAGACAGGAGTCTTGAATTTACCTTTCATCTCAACTTGTTCTTAAACATATTACGTAATATAATATACGATTTTTTGACAGAGAAGGGGGGAGGGGTCAGCACGTTTTTCGAAAATTTTAGTTCCCCCTTAATTCATATTTCTCTGGTTCCTATGGACGGTGAATATTAAAACCACAAATAAAATATTTAAGATATGTTTAAAATTACTATGTACCTTTCTTGTTTGCAACGGTTACAGTTTCTCCTTTTCTTACTTTTGCAGCAGGCTAAAAGATCACAGACAAATTTTTTACGGGAAATTAATATATACGGGAAAACAGAAACAGATTTTACAAGACGAAAAAGACATCGTCAGCGTTATTTATAGTGAAGTCTTTTAAAAAACCACGAAGAACGATGATTATGATCAATGCATATGAAATTTGATCTCCAAACGGCATTTGAACCATGCAAGGATACTGTATGAGCGGGCGAAGAGCATTTGTTTGCTTTACAGGTACGGCGTAGCACACGAAAGTGTCCAGTTTTCTATATTGCTGTTTTATACTTAAGAAATAGCAAAGTATTTTACGTGTTTCTTATAGAAACAAGCGTGAGAGTTTGGGAGAACGGGAAATAATCAGTGGGAAAACGAGCTCGTAGGGCGAGTTTTCCACGTTATTTCGAGACTTTCACAAGTGTTCCCATGACTGTATAAAAACACAGGAAAAAATGTTTTCTATTTCTTTTATAATATAACTTAATAAAAAGATTTTGTACAAATATTATAATTCGATTCAATTACAAATTCTCATTACATCGCTTCCTTGTCAAGTTCAGCGGGAAAAATTCCGTGTTCTATACAGTTTTAGTATACACCAGACTATTGTCTATTACAAATCCTACATTCTGATTGGCTACCCGACCATTGTCTATTCGTGATGGTGAACGTTTGGGAAAAATTCGCTCGCGCGACCGTATAAAATTGAATTGATTGAATTTTTTTTCGGTGTAATTGCGGTGTATCGATTATTTTCTCGAAATTAATATATCTAGGTACAGGGTGTATACTAAAACAATTAGACAACTCGTCTTCGTTGCCTATTCGCTCATCGACAACTCGGACTCGTTGTCTAATATTATTGTTAAATAGAAACACGCTTCTCGACCAATCAACACGCGCGTACTATGAATGTTATATTATAAAATGTTATGTTTACAGTATGGATTATATCGGTACTATATATATATATATATATATATATATATATATATATATATATATATATATATATATATATATATATATTATATATATATATGTATTATATATATATATATATATATAATATATATATTATATATATTTACATATATATACATATATATATATATATATATATATTTATATATATATATTTATATATACATTCTAATGCTGTCAAAACATGTTTAAAACTACAGTATAAATATAATGCTTACCGCCATGTTTTCAGTGTTCGAATTTTGTCGTTTTAAGCTCTTCTGCTGAGTCGGTTGTGTTGTTGTAGCTGGTCGTTTAGTGGTGGTCAAAGCTGCAGTGTGTTTATTGATGCTGCTAGCTCGTGAGTTCAAAGTTCCCGACTAAAATTGAGACAACATGGTTTATTTGTAAAAAGGATAATTGTAGTCTGGCTTCGGCCAAGAATGCAGGAATTATAGCTACAGCCACGAATGCTACCAGGAAGTATGCAGCTGAGAGGGGTGTGGGTATATATTAATCAGTTTGTATATGTCTTGCGTACAAATACAAACTGAATATACTGTATATACATGCAATGTCAATGATATGTTGGGTGTTATAAAGCCCGGGCTTAAAAAAATACCAGTCAGCATGCGCGGATTAGTGCGAGTTAGAGATTCGTAACAAAACATACAGTTTGAGGCTTTCTTTCATCTCTGCACGTTGCCATGGTTGCACGACGAACTACAGCGATGGGTTGTTTTAACTTCCTGCTGGCCTAAAAACGCAGTAAAGCAAATCAGACTGTCTAATCAAATTTAAACTGCGCAGGGTACCACTTTCAACAACGAACACATTCGAACACATTATATTTTCTGTGTGCTAGCTTGGCTCCACAGAGATTAATCATATTATATCATTCTGAACTATATTGTATGAAGTTGTAGCAAACAGTTGGTATTCTTAACACTAACAGGCAGGCCGGGTTCTGATCTACGAGCTTAAAAAGCCCTAAGGCCCAGGGTGATCATGAGATTTTGTAATTTTCATGCTAGATTCAGTCAGTTATACGCATATAGTCATAAACCAGTCCAACAGGTCTGATTTTAATAATTACCAAATCTATTTTATGAGGGGGGAACCAGCTAGCTAGCAAGATTTGAGCAGCTTTTCTTATAGAATATTCATATATGGTCAAACTGCCCAGCCCCAACGTTTATTTTGCCAAAATTTGATGTGATTTAAATAAACATCATATAAATATTTCAAAACTGTTTTTTGACACCTATCTTAGATTAATAAAACAAAATAACCTTGAAAATTTATGCCAATTACAGTGGATAAATTATGATTTCCTTAATAAAAACTTATGCTTGCTTACGTTTGCTTTTGAATTCATAATGGTAGCTTCTTCTTTAGTTTGATCTTGGCTAACTAAATGATTTGATCCAAGTCTGTATCCCTCACTCTGTATTTCAGGTCAGGTGGTATAGCTAGCCTACAATCACAATATGATAATTAAGGTTTAGTAGGTTCTCACACACATGCAGTTGTGGCATACAGTATCAAATGTACTGTATGCCACTTATTAAGTGAATTAACCAGAACTATATAAAAAAGGAAACATGCTCTAACAACTGAATAATTATGATATTGCACAACAAATTAATGGGCACTAGTTCTGCTGACTGCATGATCCATTCATAAATAAGTAAACTAATAGAACTTTTACCTATACCGTGAGCAATGGGATCTATTAATATATCATTCTGATCTGTTGTTTGATCAATTTTCTATCCCAATCAGTACCAATCGTATAAGCCAACTAATTTTAGAGAGTTGCAAGCATTTGAATTACTTTAAATCTTGGTAATTTTCTTATTTTAGGCATGCAGCATTTCACAAGGGTTCTGTTTTAATAGATGTATTATGCATTCCTTTCAAAAGTTATTCATTGTCCCTCTCTTTTGGCATTGCCATCCTCCTATGAGGGTAGGTGCAAATAAGTTGTGGAAGCCCTAGCTGATTGTGTGTGCCTTAGCTAAGGCACTACCATGGGAAATGTTTTCGAATGGAGGCCTATTACCTTTATCTTACCCTTCCCAAATATGTGACAAGGTTTTATTCTTTCCAAGAGGCACTCCCCCACTAAATATAGTTATGCAGCACTAGTAGGTTCTTAACTACCGAACCATGCTGACATGCATGTTTGAATGGAATAGTAAACTAAGTTTGTTACTTGCTTGCATAAGAGATTATAATTCAAACAAGAACACAATATACCTATAAAATTCGATCAGGTTTGAACATTGATGGTTGTATGCACTCATGCTTACGTTGAACAGGATGTTCAACCATTGTACTGGTAGGTTAATATTTTAAGACAAACTTGGTTACTGGGGATTGTAAATATATGGGCATAAATTCAAACTTTAGGAATTACATGCGGAGTAGCTAGAGACTTCCATGGCTCTGACAATCAAGGTACCAGACTTTTGACAGTCATTATAAGACATTTATTTTCTCACTTCATAATTTTTCAAAAAAAACAGCTGGTGGTAATCTATGTCAACCTATGGATGGCAGCAGGCTGCATCCCCACAGGCCTACAAAACAACACTAGATCCATCCAAGTAAGATGATGCCACAGCTCAGATACCAAAGGTAATTTTGGGAACAAACACTTAATTTATGTTGATCACAATGCGCTAGAAACTGGATGCAGATCAGCATCAAATGGTTTAGGCAGACACCTTGACCTGGCTGAAGTCTGGAAATCAGAGCTTAGGCCAGGCAGTGAAATTCACATAATAATTTAATTCTGATGATGATAAGTAGGCCCAATTGTGCTTACAACACAGAAATGTCTACAGGTTGTAAAACTTTAGTAGGTTTTAGTGCATATAACAAACACCGAGCTATAGCACAGTAATAAAAAGCCTAGCTGGTACATTATTTTGTAAGCCAGATTTTTATTGCTAGATATATAACTAATATAAGTGCCAGTTACAAAAGGAAATTACATGTATATATATTTGAGGTTACTTCGTAGATGTATATTCGTGGTATTTTATACTACATAAATACACTATTTCTCTATCTGTTATATATTATATATGATCTATGAATCAGCACTGGGCATCGTATATTTAATATGCCGCGACTATAAACAAAATATAAATACCGAGAATGAAGAATTTTAATACTTACGTTCACCGTTTACAATGAGATTTCTTTAATAGCTGAACGAGTGCTGTTTCTAATACGTAAATCACAAATGGATCACAATATATTTTCTTTCTTAGTGTTTAAAATTACCCGAAAGTAAAGGATAAAATCATATATATATTCTTTGTCAGACAAAAATCGTTGTTATTCGTTTCAAATTTTTGCCGCTAAAAAGAATTTCCGATTGCAAGGCGAAAGCTGACGGTTCCCTCCGACAATATTTCCTAGCCTGCGAACAGGTGTTTAAAACTGTGCCATAGAACAGAAGGTAACAGAAGGTAAATAAATCGTCGTAAAGTGCACTGAAGTCTGAAGATGATCAAATCGAAACTAGTATCCACAAAATAAAGTCGTTTTTATTGCGCAAAAAGACTCAACTTGCAATGCAATTCAACTTGCAATGCAATTCTACTTTGAAGAGATGTAAATTAGTGAAGAGGCTTTAAAATGTAAGTGTAAGAAACACCATGGAGTGTGATAAAGAAAGAAGATTGGTACTTGCCAAATTTACATATTTCAAAAGAAGAATTGCATTGCAAGTTGCACGAAAAATTGCACCGTGTAACAGGGCCTTTACATGTGCTAGTTTCACAGTAACGACTTTTGTTGATAATAAATTTAAACCGCATTAGCTGCCCTTTTTATTAACCTAATGTGCCCCTGGAAGCTGGTGCCCAATCTCTGCAATGTCTTGCTAATCTCTGGATGCTTCCTACGCCACTGACTCGCTGTTTGATGTTGTTAGAATGCTAAATCCAATTATCCAGTATTCCTTACAGGATAAATATCGTCTGAGAATAAAAATTCCTAACGTGATTATGATTTTGAGGTCTCACTCACCAAAATGCTAAGCCTATGGGATCGCTGTCATATATAAAAGAGATTATAGAAAAACCGTGAGAACAACTACATTATTCTCATAATTATCAGCCATATTTCATAGAAACTGTTTCTTCAAGCGGTTACATCATCATTTTTCTCATCCTTGAGCTCAACCTCAGCTGGGTTTATCGTTAAACAAAGCTTTCCATCCTTTAGTGACTTCACATTGATGTAAGACTTCTACGAATGAAAAAATCTTTACTCAAACGCAAAAGATGACGCAAAACATATTTTATAACATGATAGCTGTTATGTGAGTTAGGATAAACACCTAAATGTCACATTCAAACCTATTAGTATTGTCGTGATGTAATCGCATATTGATGACAGATCTAAATTATATGTTTTTCAAAATTTTTGGAAAAGTCTAATTAAGAGCTCAGCTCTTTCGTAATAAACTCTAATATTTGTCTTCAAACGGCAATTAAAAATGAAGTCATGCGAGAAGACAGAATCTTCAGGGTTCAGTTTATAATCCTAAACTGCAAACAGACAGGACCGAAGTATAAGATAGCATAACTAGCACTTTACCTCATCATTACTCATCAAATCATGAAGACGTTGGTGGATTTCAGAGAAGGATGGTCGATTCTTCGCATTAACCTTCCAACAATTTGACATTATTTCGTATCTGAGTAAAGAAACCGGTTCATTAAAAGGTTTTATTATATGGCAAGCGTCATTTCCGGTGAAATCGAGCTCATTGATTGGTTGGGAAGAATTTTCAGCGGTCCATTACTTTCCCGAAACGGACCGACACTTTTCTGTTATGGACCGGCGTTACCGGCGATCCATTACGAGAAGAAAAACAGATAAATTTTTAATGAAGAAGGCACAAATAAATGCTGAAGAGAAGATTTAATTGTATTGAAATTAATAAGACGTCTCGGGACAATTAACTTTAGTAAACTAAATAATTCAATATATTGTTTTTGTTTTTATCAAATGCGTACCAGGCTAATAATACGAATTCATGTATTTCTTGCATGTTTCTTTCATTGAAGTGTTAAAACAGCTAGTTCATGCGGGAACTGCATGGACAAAAGCAAGCAGAATATGCGACTTACATTTCAATTGAGCAGTGAGGTGGTTTTGGCATTCGGCATCCGGATCCGACATGATTGATTATGTTATACGGTGACATCGCCTTGTACGGCTCTTCGCCTGAAAATATGGCAAATTGAGAAAATTTGCAGATGCAGTCGTTTTCTTTATCATTGATTTCATGGTTTTATTTTATAGCAATATAGCTTTTATTCCTTTCATGGTGACTTACGAACGACCCGTTACGGCTGATAAAAAGAGAAAAATAAAAAATTGCAAATTCAAAAGAAACGTTTAAAGCCACTACAAAACCCTGTATTCAAAAATCTCACTCACACTCATTAAGGTGAAATTGAAATTTTGTCATGAAAATCAAGTTCCTATTTGAGTGGAAACACCGCTATACGGAAATGAGCCGTGTGAGAGAGCTCTTAGAATACGGGCGTTAGTCTAGATATCGTTCACCTCTCAATATACCTCGTACCTAGGGTACACACCCTTCCCCAAAAGAGTGTAACGCAATTGAATTTTATCTTTTTAAAGAATCACGACTTAAAAGTTAAGATAGATTTCCAGCATTTAATATTCTTGATATGTTTTAGTATACAAACAACTTATTAACTTCGTACATACAATAACACATACCCAAAGTCACGATTTCATAAAGAAGGATGCCAAAACTCCATCTATAAATTCAGAATGATGTATGTCAGATTCATAACATTCTCTGTGTTTGTGAATATGACTTTGCGTAACGATTTTTATTTATTATTTGAATAGTCATTATAAATGGTGTGCAATACTGCAATTGGGAAAAAAACAGGAAGGACCAAATTGAGCTTCAAATAAGAAACAAAAGTACAATAGCCAGTCTCTAACCCAGTACTATGGCCGGTCTCTAACCTGCCTAAGAAACAAAAGTACAATAGCCAGCTGACTCTAACTTGGCGAAGGAACAAAAGTTCTATGTTCAGTTTCTACCTGCCCAAGGAACAAACGCGTACTACGGCCAGTCTCTAACCTACCTAAGGAGCAATTAAACGTATACTATGTCCATGCAGTCTCTACCAGCCCAAGGAACAAACGTATTATGACCAGTCTCTAACCTGCATAAGGAGCAATTGAACGTACTATGTCCAGTCTCTACCAGCCCAAGGAACAAACGTAATGGTATTATGGCCAGTCCTCAACCTGCCCCAAGGAGTAAACCTATAATCACTAAGGCAACAACTTACACATCGCTGGCTGTTGTAAATATACCATGAATTAGGCTCTCCAAGGCCATCCATTTAACAGGAAGAAGATTCTAATAAAATGAAATAAAGTAAGTAATCCTTAGTAGGTGCTTTTATATCGAGAAATGTTGTACTGTTTCCAAAGCAAAACAAAGTTGCATTTTCGATGTCAACTTTTTTCGATGTCAATAAAATCGTTGGCAAAAAAAAACTCGTGAGGTGCTTTAATTAACAGGCATTCACAAATGCACTGAGCCTTGTTTAACATCGCTATGATGTCTGTTCTGAATAGAATTTCAGCATTTGCAATTTTTTCTATTTTTTTTTAATATTTTTGTCCAGACTCTTTTGTTTGTTCAATATTTTGAATATGAGTTTCATCAAATACACGTTATATTGGAAAATAATTTGAAAATAAATCAATATTTCCTATAGTTTAGCTTGTAAATAAAGTCTCTGATAATCAGATTCAATTATTTAACAAATTATTCATGCCAATTAAAAAATTATTTTTCAGTAAAATTGTCCTTTTACTATTATAGTTCATATACCTGATTGCTTCGTATATATTCCTCAGCACTTCCAATATCTCTCGCCAAACCGAAATCAGAAATTTTTGCAACGTTTTCTAATTCACCGGCAAGAAGGATATTTCTGGCTGCCAAATCACGATGGACAAACTAAAATATTGCAAGAAGGTTAACACCATGCCTGAAAGCCATAATTATTATATAAAGGCATGAATAAGCCTATATAACGGGAACAGGTAGTTCACGTGCATGCAGAAGGTACAGTGGCTGCATGTATGATACCTGTTTGAAATTGTAGTAAAGCATAAATTTCCAATCTTATGGAATAGACCTTTCGATAGTGACGTCACAATATTATCGTTTTGAGATGCATGGCCTTATGCTGGGGTTAACTGAGATGGCCATCGCGTTTTACTCCCACGAGCAACGTGCAAAGATGCAAAACATCTTCTTCAACATGCATGCGTGAAAAATACTTTTTTTCATTTTGACAAAATTAGTGTGAAAATAAGCTATAACACAAGAACGAGGCTGCCGGTCGTGGAGTGGTAGCCTCGTTTTAGTGTTACGGCTTATTTTCACATTTATTGGTCGAAGTTAAAAATTCTTTTTATGCATGTGTGCAAAAACAATGTTTTGAATAAAACTTAAAATCCATGTAACTTAAGGTGATTCTAAATTTAAAACGATAATGTTGGACGTAATTATCGAAATTGTTGATTAAATGCTACTGAATGAGGATTTTAACGATTAATTTTCAATGGAGAGCATTAGCCTATAGCTATAACTGCGAGTATACGATTAGTAGGAAATTCGCGCCAAATTGCTATAAGCTACTAGAAATATACATGCATGCAAAATCCCCTCGCCTGAAGCAATAAACATATATTTACATGACTGAAATTCTACAATACTCGTTTCTGCTGAATTGAATGATCGAAGTCAAATAAGAAAAATCCTATTTCAAGTACAATTGTAAAGTCGACTCTCGAGCTATCACATCCAACTATAATCATAAAATAATCATTAATTGTGCTATGAATAGTGTTACTGCACTACAATTTTCAGCGAAATATAGATTCTTTTTTAAACACAATCACCTTTAAAAATAAATGCTTTCCCAATCTTAATGATTTTAACGAAATTGACAAATAAATTCAAAAAGGTGTCTTACGTTGGTAAAATACTTGCATGCGTTAAAATACAAAATCTACCTATTTACCTGCATGTTCAAGTACTAGTGAATTTTTCGATATTTTCAAAACCAACCAAATGAAAAATATTTTCAAAAAGTTTTATAATTCAAATTATCAGTTATGCTGACGCGACCGAAATTTTTTGATTTAGCCAATCGCACGCTTGCAAACGTTCGCTAGTTACCAGTTTTAACTCGTTTTAAACTCACGTATGTGCATAACTTACAAAAATGCCCAACGTCCATGACATATAATGGCGGACAACTTTAATTTCGCATCTGCATTATATTCCCGGGCGTAATTAACTGAAACCTCTGGGGGGGATTAGTACCCTTGCTCTCGTGGATAAACGTTCATTAGCTTTCGGACGTCGAACCCTGGTGAAATTGGTAACTTTGGCTTTTGATTTGATGAGCAATGATGATCTTTCTACTAACACTCTTTTTTAATACCAAGCAAGCAGCACAATAACGAATCCCGCACTCGATATCGATGATATATCATAGTAGGCTGCATAATACATGCATGCTAAAACACACAATTATATTAATTTTATGGATTTTATCATCTTGGTGGACTTTATTAAGCCGCCAAACGCAAACAAAATAAACTTTAAAGTGGAAGAAAAGTCCATACTCCATATGTAAACAAACGGTATGATATATGATTGCAAATTTGAATTCAACGTGGAAAAGATTGAGAGCTATAGTGCACTAGTGCAGTAGGCACAACTGTCATAGTACCTTTTGATTCGAAAGATGCGCCATTCCACTTGCCACATCAACGGCAATTTTCAAGAGTTGACGATCGTTCAAGGTGGAAGTTATATGCGAGCCAAGGTTAGTAATAAGTTTACTCTTCCTCAGAAATTTCTGAAGATTTCCAGCAGAGCAGAACTCTGTCACCACCATTAGTTTTCCTGAAGTAAAATATTTGATATTCGCGGCATCAATTAAAAATACGTAATTACAAAGTGCGGAACAACCCTACCTACTAAAGAAAAGATGTTAATGAACAAATATAATAATAATGGTTCTTCATTTTTGTCGTACCTTCCACTAAACAACCGCCTATAAATCGTATTACATTTGGATGTGGTTCTTTGTTAATTTTTTTCAAGATCTCCAACTCGGCCAAAAGATCAGATATATCAGATTCTTTCGCAGTGTCTGAAACAACGTCAACAATTTTAAAAGGTACACGTTATATGATATTTATAAGAAATAGAAAACATTTTCCGTGTTTCTATACAGTGTGGTATAAATTTCGAGATGACTATTGATTTTCCAGCATTTTCATTGGTCAAGATTCACTGTATCTGATGCTTTTTGTTGTTGTTTTTCAACTAAGAAATTTGAAGTAATTAGAATTTTTTATGAAATTATGTTGATTAATTATTATTATTTTTTGCAAACACCTCGAAATTTAAACTAAAACATTTAGTCGCCTCTTGCTTAGTAATCACCTCGCCTTCAAAAAACTAATTGTTAAAATAATAGAGACGCGCGCGTGGGGGTTTGGGAGGACATTATTAATTCGAGTTCTCCCAAACTTTCGAGCGTGTTTCTATGAATGAATAGAAACATAAGATTTTTTTTATCTATATCAATTATAATAAAACTCAATAAAAAGATTTTGCACAGATATTATAATTCGATTCAATTACAAATTCACATTACGTTACTTCGCTTGTCAATTTCGGCAGGAAATGTCTCGTTTTTCTACACAGTTATCCCCGAGCGGGCGCAGAGCGCCTGCGAGGGTACTAATTCCGCTCGGAGATTAGGAAATACACCCGGAACCCGGTAGAACGTAGGCGAATCCAAAGTTGTCCAAATCATAGAGATTATAAATAACACTAGAGGAGGCATTGGTATCGGAAACATCAGTCAAAAAAGGGAGCGCGATAATGGGGGGCAAATTCAAGTCCCGGATAATAAACCAAGCGCTGATTGGCTAGATCAATGCCACCTTAGCAACCACGTTAGCAACAACTAAAATTTTTATTTGAAAAATTATATTCGTTTTTTAGATCGCTTTGCCGGTTTTTTAAGGAAAAACAGTGCTTTTTGGAACTGGTTTTACTACCTTAGACATCCTGAAATGATATTTTAGGGAAAAAAAACATTTAGAGATAAAAAAAATCGTTTAAAACGACATATTTTGGCCTCGGACATCGTGAATGAGTGAACATCCGGGACTTGAATTTGCCCCCCATTAACGCGCTCCCCAATTTCTCCTCGATGCCCTCTCTAGTGTTATTATAATCTCTATGGTCCAAATTCTATGTCATGGACGGTCGACGTTGGGTGGTTTTGTAAGTTATGCGCATGCGCGAGTAGTCAACGAACGTTCTGATTGGCTAAGACAGAAAGTTTGTATTTCAATGAGAACGTCAGCAATTTAACTGTCATTTCGTAAACATTTTTGTAAAAGCGTTTCATAAACTTTGTGCAAAGAAAGTAAAAGGAGAAGAAACAAGATATATGAAGCATGACAGTTAGCAAAGATGAACGTGGATACAGTCAAGACAAAGCCATGTAAGAGGAATAATTCATAATCTGCAAGCTTATAAATGTTTTCAAAGACAAAGGGTACGTGTTTACTTTGTTTATTTCGTATTTGTTTCGCAGTAAGAATGAGCCGTATTAGTATACTTTTCAGCTTTGTATGCCGTTTATTTGATAAATTTTCAGCTTTTTATGCAAACACATAAACCTGTCAAAGGCTATTACACCTTTGCTTTAACTTCAAAAAGTGTTCTTGAAAGTGTAATTTGAATTTTGGTATCAAAATACACACTATATTTATAAAGTATAAAACTTTTAGCTGCCGGCGTCGACTGCAATTACAGAATAAAATAACATTTGAAGTTTCTCTTTGTCTGTGAAGATTTTGTACTGTTTTAATCGTTTGAAACTTCGATTTTAAGCCGTTACTTAATTGCTGGCATGGTATAATGCAGCAAAATTGAACGGGCAATGTTTACACTAACTTTTATAGTTATTTTTGTATTGAATGATGGAAACATTAGTTATAATATACTCGGTAAAATATAATAAGACTGATTTGAGTTTTTTGTCATTTCATAATATATAAGTTTAGGTCAGGTTAACTCAGGAAATTGTGTACTTGGTTTGAAATAGCGAGGGGTTGCTGCATGCATGTATTTCTAGTATATATATAGAAAGACGCTTCTCGACCAATCAGCACACGCGTATTATAAATGTTATATTATAAAATGCAATATGAATTGATTTAAGATTATTTACCTTTCAACATTTTGATAGCAACAAGTTCAGGATTATCGTGTCCCGGAGCCGTATATGAAGCTTGCTTAACGATTCCAAATTGTCCAGCCCCGAGTGTTTTTTCCATTATGTACAAGTGGTTTGGCGAAATTTCCCAGTCTTTCAATAAGGTTACATATGAGATTTCTTCTGGCTGGAGCTCTAAAGGAAAATTCGCGTTTTTTTCTCATGTCCCAGCTAATTAGGAAATTTTACACTGTTAGAAGATACATATGGACAATAGACACCAAAAGTCTAGTGAATGCTATTCTTTTATGTATGTTATGACGGGTGTGTTTACATGATTTGTTTTTTGAAATGCGCAAGAATGAAAAATCCTTTCCACACTTTTATCATCATATCATAAACATTTTAGCTAATTATCATGCAGATTTGCATTGAATTTAACTTTCCACTGTGCATGCAGCGAGTGCCTCTATTCGAAACAATAAACAGATTGCATTAATTGAATCAGTTAAGACTTTGTGGCACTTCACTTCGCAGTTCAACATTGAGTGAAATGACACAAAATTTTAACTAATTAATGGGAGAATATAGGATTCTTTATTTTGAATAAAGAATTTTCCTAGAGCTGCAATTACTAACCACTTTCTTTGTTCAACTGTTCTAGCTCAAGCAATTTATCGTTTCGGGAATTTTTTGTTTTGGGACGGTTTGTGATCCAGGATTCAAATTCCTGTCATATAAAGAAAAAAGAAAAAAAATGTATAATGAGAAGTAGCTCCAATATAATATTGGCAATATTTTTTTTATGTAATTTTGATTTTTTTCATAAAGATCTACATCTTGAGTAAACATTAGTTTTCAGACATTCTGTTTTGCATATACTTGATGCAATAGATCTTTCCCCTTATCATGCTTGCAATGCGTGACGATATATAGTTGATTATCAAACAACTTTGAGCTGCGATATCGCTCTGCTTGGAAGCGATTTTTTCGTTGTAAGAAAAGCTTTCCGATTCTTTTGGTTTTTTGTTGATCGTTAACGAAGTCTAGAAATAAATCGCTCCTGAACATATATGGCGGAATCAACTACCGTGAGTCTCGCATTGCGCACTTGAACGCCAAAAAGGGGAAAGGTCTATTACAGTAGATGTGAACATCCGTGATTACGGAGGCGAAAATTTATGTCGGTAACAATCGTAATATCTCAAAGGTTGACAAGCTTAAAGCAAACAGAACATATGCATCTGCAAAAAGACGCCATGCATGATGCATGTAGCCGTGCCTGCATGCTTTTTCCTATCATGCATGCAAGAAAATATCTTCTGTTGCCATTTTTCTTCCGAAGAAACACGCAGCGGAGTTACATACAAATATGCAATAATTAGTGATACATTTTATAGCAATCATCGCACACTGTTTCATCACACGCTGTTTGAAACAAAAAAGAAAAGCGTAGCCAGAAGGAGAATTTGGGCGTCCGTCCATATTCATATATTCGTGATACGCAGGATTAAATTCTTTTCAAATCAAATGAATTGTCTTTACAGTCTGTTAACAAGTAAATATGTATATGGGCTCCACCCCAATTATCGATGCTGGCTGCTCCATTGAGTAAATGTCTATATTTTATATCATTGCTGTATATAATATATATAATACATGGAAACTGTTGGTTTTACCTTGATCGAAATATCTCTGCGTCTATTCTGAATTTTCTTTACTATAAATAAAAGGGAAAACGCAACCAGGCAAATAAACACACCAGATCCTGCTACGCCCCCTGCAATAGCATGAACATTATTGTCTGATCGTGAATTTACAGCTTTTGTTATTTGTTTTTTGTCCGTTGAAACAACTCGTGTATTCTCTGCACTCTTTGTTGGAACATCCTTCCGTCCCTTGATTGTTACGTTGTAAAGATAGACGGCTTCACCAATACCATTCTTATCAACAGCTTGCACTTTAAAATTGTACAATCCAGGTTTTTCTGAAAAATGAAGGAAATGAATAGATGACTAGAAGATTTATGAGATCGATGACTAGAAAATTACTGCTCATAAACAGTTTTCTCAGTTATGAGAAGTTTATATTTAGTCCCCATGAAATGGCAATTAATAGCTAAACTTTCACTTTGCAAGAAGGGCATTGTTATATAGTTACATTTTATTGATATCTAAAACGGCGACGATCATCGGGCGCTGTTTCTATGCCATTTCGCTTCGGTTGGTGTAAGGTACATTGTTGTGAAAGTGATTGATTTCAACATTATTGCTTACACGAAATTTGTTTGAATATTTCAAAACCTTTTTGCATAACTTCTGTTGCAATTTCAGCTATATTAAATAATATAGTGCGTAACTCACCAAAATCAGATAAAAAAGGACTTGACACAACCTGTTTTTGGAGTAAAAAGTCACTCTGATTTGTCCCCCACGATACTAGATAATGATCGACAATATTATCAGCAGCAATTTCTGGGTTCAGCCATGAAAGTGTTAAACTTCTTTCTTGTACCACGACGGATACGTTTCTAGGTTCACTTGGTCCTAAAAATAGGTGTAAGAGTAAAGTCTGTAAATTGTGATGATCATGCATGCAAATTTCTCCAAATGTTTTAAAAACTGAATGAAATCCGCCATTTTTTGAAGAGAGGCAGAATTCAAATTATACGAATATGTAGCTCTAGGATGTATCGATAAGGGAAACAATATTATTTGATACGTGAAATATTTGAAACCTAAATTTAAAATGGTAATATCTATAATCATTCGTCAAATGATTAGGAGTAGGAGTAAATTAATAATTGCCAAAGATAAAAATATTATTTATTCTTAGCTTTCGGTACTAAAATTTTTGTTATAGCGTTAACTGGCGACAGAAGAGAAAAATTTGAAAACAAAATGTTTCCGCCGAACGGCACAACCAGACAACAATTTATTCATAATTCAGTAATTATCGTGTTTTCGGACATCGTATAGGATCTATACTAGCTCTTCGGGTCAGCATTTTACTGGAAAGTTTATAAAGAATGAAGTCTCACCAGGGGGAGGTCTGGGACAGAAAGCGTAGACTATTCTGTCGCTCAACAGAATCAAATCAGGATATGTTGATGGAAGCGTTTGACCAGCTGTTGATATATTTGTCAAGAATGGCACAGTTCTAACATTTTGTTGACGGTTACCAACATCAATTCCAACAATGATTATGCCTTTGTCTCTCAGTTTCTTTGCTTCAGCTATGGCGGTGTCCTGCGGTTGTTCCCCTTTTCCCGCCCTTCGCGTTGGTGTTCCATCAGTGAGCAGAATTATGACATCATCTTTATCTTCTCGATGATTTAGTGAATTATTTCTCTTGAATATCTGCAAAATAATGAATCTATGTATATTTAGAGCCGCTATATAGACGCTATTATACACGCTTTTTGTTATATTGTAAAGGAAAGCAGGTCACAAATTGATGGTTATTGATTTGGCCGCTAACCTTAAAGATAATCTTGGATGCTTTTATCGTCGCAAGCCGTTGAAATAAGACTAAAACCATACTTGATTTTAGGATGGCTAGATATAGTTAATATATTAAATAATACTGACAATTTGAGATATTTCCAGTGCTATAATTTGTTAAAAATTGTGATTACAGTGACTTTTAGAGTTCAGAGACTTTAATATTAATGTTCTAATGTTCTATATATGGTAATGTTAGGAACAATCTGACCTATTAGAAGTAAGCGGAAGTGAAGTTGTAATATATGTTAGAGATAGAGAGAGGTGAACAGATTGAGAGAGTATTGGAAATATAAAATCGAGATAAAACCATATTTTGGAGTAGATTTAACTTTTTCGGTGTTGGAATGCGAGGCCAGATTTCCGACAAATTTAATAGCAGAATTTGTCTTTTTCTGTAAAAAAGTGTTATTGACTTTTTTTAATCCCCGAGCCGGTGCGGAGCACCGTGCGAGGGTGCTAATTCCGCTCGGATGATTACACCCACGATGTGCAAAGGCGAAATCGAAGTTGTCCGCCATTATGCAATGGACCTCGCGCCATGGATGGTCTTCTACGTTATGCGCATGCGCCAGTGTGAACTACTAAGCTTTTGATTAGTAGAGACAAAAATTTTCAAACATGAGTGAATAATTGTCATTTCGCCAAATTTTGATGAAATTTTTAAATTTATGTTTTCATACATGTGGAATATATGTATTTTTAATTAAATTAGAGGGAAACTCGAATGTGGTCAGGACTTTTCACGGTTTAACAAATAACAAGACCAAATTTTCGAGTTTCGACCGAATTCACCGTGTATACTGAAGTCGGAAGATTTTACACTTGATAATGATAATATTTCATCCGGCACAGCTATAAAAAGTAATTATTTTGTGGTAAACACAACTTTAATATTCTCAAATGTATTTCACTATGAATCCGTGAATGTGTTATGTGATAAACGACATTATAATTTCATTTGTAAACTCCGTTTTTATAATGACAAAAACCGTACAAAAACCGGTCGAAGCATAAGCCATAACATAAAACCTTGGAAGTTGTATGTCTGATGTTATATTTCATGGTAATTAATAATCAAAACAATTTACCATAACACTGACTATAGATGAGTGACCTTAACTTCCAGAAAAAGGTAGGAATCTTGTCGTATTTTTGCCATTTTTTCACAAAAATATGAGCCGTCGCGAGTTGCTATGACTACAGTGTTTCCACCTGCAGAAAAATATTTCCATACTTTTCTCAATTTCTTTTTCTCTCTATACCATGTACCCTCCCAAACCCCCAACCCACATAAATTTTCTAACAATCATGTTACCATCCCTATGCTTAACTGATTTCGTTCAACCGAGGCGAGGGGTTGCTGCATGCATGTATTTCTAGTATACTATTACTTAATAGTTTCCGTGCTTGGATGGCCTAATCCAAACACGCGGGAGTGTTGCGAGAGTTAAGAAAAGCGCGCGAATTTAAATTTTTTAAAACTTTAAATTTCCGTGTTTGGATCAGGCCGTCCAATTCAGAACACGCGTGATTCGACCAATCAGAACACGCATTATATACATGTAATCTTATAATTATATTCACTGAATAAATTATTAGATTTGAAACCATAAACAATTTGACCTACCTCGTTTGCTTTTAATAAAGCTACATCTGTTCTTTTTTCATAATAATTTATCCAAAAGGGATGGCGGAGCCCGAAGATTCTTCTTTGCACATCCGTTTTATTCCGACTTTTCATTGTTAATATTATTTGAGTTCTCTCATTACTAAACGTCATGATTGCAATATGGCTTCCTTCTGGTGAGACATTCAGTTGAAGATTGTCGACAAGTACATTAAGAAAGACTGTACAGAATATAAAGTTTATGTATTCTCGCCAAGTTGAAGTATCAACAATAATCAAAACATCTTTAATGCATTTGCCTACAAAATTAGTAAAACGGCAAAATGATTAATCCAAAAGGGAGTGCACAAGTACCTCGAAGTACCAAATTACACTTAATTTGTTTGGCAAGAATATAAATTATTGCATTTATCAAAGATTGTTGCATTTAAAAGTGTGCACCAGTTCACACGGGCGATTTTGTTTTCTGATTTCGGTGTAATAAGTCAGATTTAACAGGATTTTGATTATATAGGTCTTTAACCAACGGGCGTATTTTTGAGGCACACAAAATCCGCGAGTTTTTAAAACCCTCTATGATTTTCGCTCGCAAAGAAAAATGATGTAAAAGTAAAAGACCAAAACTATTAAAATATGGTGGGAGAACTTACTTGGAGTATTTGTAGATTTCCTTATTTCTATTGTTTTGGGTCGTTTTGTTATCTGCTTATTACAGCAAATATCCAAAGCTACACAGATGAAACTAAACTTAGGTTTGTTTGTGGATAAATAGTTGTCTAATGTTGCTATCCAAAAGGACGAAACTTTCCCAAATGTTGTGTAACTCAATTGTCGCACTTTACCATCATTATCAGTTCGTTTCCAGTACATCTCTTGTATATCGCCAGATGCATTGCAGGTCAAAGTTAGTGGTCCTGGATGTGAATAATATCTCGGCCCAGTTATAGGACCAGAAAACTTAACATTCTTTGGTGTTGCTCGTCCGCATTCTGCAATGGAAAATAAAAGAAGTTTAGAGGAACTTGGGCAAGCGAAAGATAGTTCGTATTCTAGTTCATCTTTGTAAGTTCGTCGCGTAATGTAATTATAAGTACCGTATATATTAGGGTTACTAATGATTTCAGTTCCACACAGAAAGATCTGACTGTTGTTATAGTTCAATACATCAATGGACTCGATCCCCTAAGATCGACAAGGACAGGGACTCACAAAACATGCACGACTATAGCTAGGGAAAGGTTTCGTAGCCAATTAACTTGGATGGAAAGGGTGCAATTCGTCATCACAGAAAATGGTTCCCCGTCCCGTAAAGAGAGGAAGTGTTGCATGCTGATCCAAATTAGCTAAATTTCTCCCACTTTTGCAGGCTCGTATTGTCAGAGGAAATCTTACATAAAATAGAGAGCAGTGGGTAATCGAAAAGCTTTTAATTTTTTGATGCGAAGACCTAAAAAACTGAGCCCTCTGTACAAGGAGAAAATTTGCTGAATCGTGGTATATATAGACAACCGTGCCGTGTAGAATGCACGTAACAATATGATGACACCACAATCGTTCATTTGTTGATTTTGAAAACAGTGTTGTATCATTAAACATACCTGGTTGTATCTTACAGATTCCATTAACAGTCCGCGAAATCAAAGTGACAACCAGAAACATAAACCAAATATTAGAATACTGTATACGGTTCCTAAGAAAATAGCAAAAACATGAAATAAGTGTGCCTATTATGACTGAAATAAAACCGTCAATGAAATGAGAGAAGAAAAACAGCTTTGTATCAAATGCGTCAATTGACAACAAGACTCTGGGTGAAAACACCCTGGGTACTGTCTAAATTATAAAGAGACAAAAGAGAGTGCGATTTACTTTGCGGTCAGCCCGACGACGCGCTCAGCTTTGTCAACCATAAAACTACAGCAAGTTATACAAAAGCTATAAAAAGCTAGTTCAATGCACGTATAACGTTGCCGCCATTCTTTAGTCGGTTTTCATCATTCATGCAAATAGAAAATTATTATTCTTTACATTAACCACGTTAATATGCATGCTGACCTCATGACATTAACAGTTTTGCAAATTTTCCTCCACTCGCACATATTCAGTGCGGCCGATCTCATTTTTTGTACGTACGTATGACGTTGGAACTGTTGTCTACCTTCAAGGCGGCCGTCAACGCGCAAGCTGTACGTGCGATTTCGCGTACGAGCACGTGTAAGTGGAGGCCTTAAAGGTCAACAGAACAAAATGTGAGAACTACCACCCAATATCCATTCTTCCCATAATAAGTAAATTATTTGAGAAAGAAGTATTTGGTCAACTTTATCAATACCTGATACTGATAGATCACTCATTGCTCTCACGTTTTCAATCGGGCTTCCGACCCAAACATTCCACATTGTCCTTATTATTACAAATGAGTGATAAGTGGATTGAAAATATAGACAATGGAGAAATAACTGGATTAATTTCAGTTGATATTAAGAAAGCCTTTGACTCATAAAATCTTGCTAAATAAGTTGCACGAGCAATTTGGCGTTCAAAATTTGGAGCTGCAGTGGTTCCAATCTTACTTCTCGAAACGCAGTCAAGTCTGCGTGGTTGATGGCTATACATCTTCAGCCAAAGAAACTATATGCAGAGTCCCACAGGGATATATTTTGGTACCCCTCTTGTTCTTATTATATATAAATTATTTGCCAGAATGTTTGAAAAACACAACTCCTAGCATGTATGCCGATGCTACGTAAATATATGCGTCTTTTTCAAGTTTCTCAGAACTAATAAAAAAAATTAATCAGAATCAAGAAAATATAGTCAAATCGCTCTCCCAAAACAAATTACAGCTTCATAAAAAACAGACAAAAGCAATGTTTATTGGATCTTCTTATAATTTGAAACACAAAGTTGGGAATGATCAAGTAATGATTAATGATAAACCTGTTACTTGCTACTCCTCTTTTCGTTGTTTGGGAGTAGAACTAGACGAAAAAATGAGCTGGGATAAGCATATAGATGCAACATGCAGGAATTATTAAAAGAGTAAAACAATTTGTTCCGTACGAAATTTTACAGAATTGGTATCATTCTGTCGTGCTCTCATATTTTGATTATTGCTCTCCTTTATGGGATAATTGTGTAAGCTTACTCATCGAAAAATTACAAAAACTACAAAACAGGGAGGCAAGAATTATGACAGGGGCCAACTACGATATTAGGATCAACAGATTTGCTCCATGCTATGTCGTGGAAGAGTCTGAATGATAGACATAAAATGAATAAATCTGTTTTGATGTTTAGAATATTAAACATCCACTTATCCTCTAACCTAAAACATAAATTTATTACCAGGGAGACAAATATGAGCAATTATAATCTTAGAAATGGCGACATAAATCTCTCACATCCTAAACCAAAAACTGAAAATTTAAAAGAGAGTTTAGGTTACAGTGGGGCATAGTCTATGGAATAGTCTACCAAAGCAAGCAAAGGAAACAAAATCTTTAGGTATGTTTAAAAATATGATAAGATAGTGTAACTACTGAGTCAGACATCGATTATTCCTAGTTTTTATCTTCTTTAATGCTTACATTGCATGTTTATTCGTTTATATTATAATACTATTTTTAATACTTGTACATATGTATTTTTAATCTATTGTAATTGTGTGACGCCCCTCACGAAAACCATCGACAGATGATGAGGGTAGGTGTGGTTAAGTAAAGTTTAATTGATTGATTGATTGATTGATTGATTGATCACAGACCGGACTTGATTTGGCAACGCAGCGCGATTTTTCAGTTTCAGAAGCACATAAATTAATTCTGCAAGAAAAATTTGGAATCTATGGACTCCAGAGCAGTCAAATGTACTATCGTAAAGTGCATATGACATGATTACCATTTTTTCACCAAAAATTCGCAAAAATCAGGTGATTCGAATGATATATATTATTCTCCGGGCGAATAAATACTTCTAAAGATATTTTTGATCAAACATTCCAAAATTAGGTTTTTTTAATATTTGGCCGGGAAAAAAGAGTCTGAAAACTAATTAGGGTTTTGCCTACCGGGCAGGCAAGAAAATCAACTAGTGTCACATTACAATAAATATATGTCGTATGCATCAAAATTTTTATACTTTGCGTTGCAAAATGCAAGCTAGATGTGTCGTATACCGTTGTTCCAACACATGCACCAGATGCATAAAATCAAATGTATAATGGAGATTTGCGCCCAGAGGCAGTAAGGAGACAACAGAAATGGATAGACTTGGTTTAGAACAATGCACATTCCCTCGACTGAAGAGAGATGAAAACGTGGTTATTTTCTACGTATTATGGATTTTGTTTAGATGGGGCAGATAGGGATGCTGTGTGATTTTTTGTCACTGATATCACTTTCTGTCCCGCTGCAGAAATTCAAGATGGCGGCGCGCGGTCGTTCGCTCCATCGGCTCACTTGTGACAATTTGTGATATGATCATCGGGTGATAAAACTATCACCTCACCTATCATGTGATAACCTAAAAATACATAACAGTCGAACTACTTAATTGCCTCTCTGAGTCATGTGTATGGATCGATTCGGTGAAGCGCTAAGGCGAAGCGAACGTAATGGATAATCGGCTTTAAAGGGCTGCCACTGTAGCATTTTTTGTACTACATACGTACAAGTATAGGTAGAATTTAAAATAATGTTAATGGGTCTTATGAAATCAACAATTGAATAGATGCATAAGATAGGATTCTATGGATGAATGCATGCTTCTGTTGATGAATGCTTCTGTTGATGTTTCCTGGCATAAAATTATTTATACAAGAAATTAGGTTTTAAACTTTATACCTTGTACAAAACAGCCCCATGCAAGTGTCGATTTTTCATGAGATACAGAAAGAACGACAATTAGCTACGTCCTAACGATTTCTGTTCGGTGAAAATCACTTATTCATGACAATTAGGGTGAATGCTAAACAGGCTTTAGATATACAGGGTGTCCCAAAAAAACGAAAACTATTGAAATCACCCATAACAATGTAATTGTTAGAGTTTGAATGCCTAAGCACTCTGTTGGGACCCACAAGTGTGTAAATGTTTGCCATAAGCATTTTTATGCATGCATATGATGCAGTAAAATTTGCTCGTACGCGAAAATGATATTTATTAACAATATTAATTTTAAATGTGCATCTCAATCACCATGATCTTCGATAGTTCTGTAAAGGGTTCTGTAGCAACACAAAGCATTTAGCATTTTACTGAGTTGCATTAAATCCCCATGGGCTAAAATTCGTGCACACGGATTTAAAATTTTAACAATGAGTGATTTCAATAGTTTTCGTTTTTTTTGGGACACCCTGTAGAGCTGCAGAGACACTCGCGGGGGAATGTGATAAAGAGGACACGTGGTGTTAAAAACAAAACGATGTTTTAAGTTACGCTAAATACATTAAATGGTTGTATTGTCTATGCACCCACATTATACATTAAAATGCAACGATTATGCTTATTAAACACTTATTTACTGACGCCGAGGGCTATTTTTGCTTTGTATATTTGTTTTGATTTCCAGGATCGCGTTACTAAGGAAAGCATAGAAACGGGCATCAAATTTCATAATTGTCTTTAAGGCAATGTCTGCACGCGGCGCGTGGGTTTTCCGTGGAAGATTTGAAAGTATTTGATTAGTTGTCGCAAAACGTCGTGTAAATTAATGCCAAAGCCTGTCCGTAGGACCTGAGGAGGGAGACAGACGGTCGTGAAGAGATTACAAACAAGCAGCTATATGTTTGCAGGCGCCTTCTTGACCACCAGGGCAAAGGGAGTATTCAGAAAAAACAGATTCAACCAAAAACCAGGTCAAGCTTAGCTTTGTGGAAATCAACATTGTTGAAAGCTTCATTTTTAAGGCTGCTTTTGCAAACACAACCAAATCTGCCTTTTGGTAGTTCGCTGCTGTTATTCCTCTGTCTAAGAAGAAGGTTCTCAGG